TGTCTGCACCAGTCCATGTTCATGGGTTTCCCCAAATGTGTTGATGCCTGAGACATGACTCACCATCCTGCACATCAAGATGACACACTGAGATGTAGCTGAAACATGGTTCAAAGCATCATCGAACCCAACCCAGTCATTTTATCATGATAGCTCATGGGGCCACGAGTGGCCTCATCTATGGCACTGCAGCTTACTGTGCGGAGATGCATGATGGGAGGACATGATTGAGGGTTTTAATCAGTATGAACCTTGGTTTGTCAACATGAAAACTGTGCTCATGTTTGCGTGGATTCAGGATTTTAATTAAGGAGGGATTCCACTGGGGCCATTTGTATATTAAGTGGCAATTGGGGGTGGTTGGGGGGGGGGGTGTCCACTAGGGCTGCAACGAATACACTGTGAGGCGAATACGATTCGTATCATGTATACAGGGTAACGAATACAAATATTTATTCACAAATAGAAATATTTATTCACCAATACAATAGCAGGTCAGCAGCTGATGTATTATTTATAATAGTTAGTGAAATAATAACAAAATAAATTATGTGACATAGTTTGTTAATTATTAATTTATTATACATTTATATACTACACTTATCCAGGTACTAGAATCTGCTAAAATGCGACAATGACAAGTGACTATAATACTGTCAAATTAAATATAAAAGTGTGTTGTCTTTGAAGAAATCTACGCATATATTAATATGTTCTTATGGATATTTAAAGGATTAGGGTATGTAAATGCACCTGACTGCATATTCATTAGTATTCGATTCTAGTGACCACGAATAACGAATTCAATTCATGAATGGATACGGTTCGATTCACCGAATACACGAGTGAATCGGAACAGCTCTAGTGTCCACCCAAAAGCCTATCCCAAAATATGTATGCCATTTTTAATAATGTCACTTTAACAACCAAGTCAACCTGTTATCAATTTATCATGTTAGGAAATGAGCATTCAAAATGTCATCAGATGTGAAAATGGGGGGTGGTCACCCCCAGAACCCTGAAGTTTACCAGTATAAGACTGGCAGGCTGTAGATAATTTCGAAGCCTGTAAGTGTAGTCAATGCCTCAAATGAGTCACTGTGGGCCTTCCATCTTCTGTGACATGCTATGACAGTGATATCAGTCTGTAATTTTAGCTACTAGTCCGACATTGTTCGAAGCCCGAGTTCAGTAAAATTTGTTTCGGCCTAGTAAGCTTTGCTAATTACAGTCCATACCTTGACACTATCATCTACTGATGTCAAGTGTTTTGTTTGTTTGTTGTTTAACGCCGCACTTAGCAATATTCCAGCTATATGAAGGCGGTCTGTAAATAATGGACCAGACAATCCAGTGATTGATATCATGAGCATCGATGAGCATTGGGATCGATGACATGCAACCAAATCAGCGAACCTGACCACCCGATCCCGTTAGTCGCCTCTTACGACAAGCATAGTCGCAAGCCTGGGTCATGTTTGTGGCACAGACAGATATATGCTGTGACCTGAAAATGTTCATCATCAGCTGTGTAAAGCAACATTCATGCACTACCTTGACTGATAAACATGACTTATACAGATTTCGCTATAGGCACTGTTGTATGAAACACAAGTGTAGCTTGAGCATATTAAAACATACATTAACACTTTTGAGTAACCTCATGACAGTATCCATGGTATTGGTCATTGAAAATACCAGCTCTGTCAGCATGGTGCTGGAGCCAAATGGCATTAGGACATTTACATGATCTTGATAGGACATTCGTCTACGATTACCAAATTTGAAAAAAATCTTTATTAATATGATTTTGGTGTATAATATGTCCTAGAAACTGAACCAATCTAAAATAATCAGGAGTATTACCTAATAACTGAAAAATATCTTATTTTTTACAATCTTTGTCAGTGTCCCTCATTCAGTAGATTTGTTGGGGTTATGGGGGAGCCCTGGTGGCTATGATGTATGATTCCACGTATGGGTGCACATGAAGCCCCTTCTTGGAGTTCCCTGTCATGACGTTTCTAGAATATTGCAGCAAGTTTTGTAAGTATCAATCAGTAGAAAGTGTACAGTGAGACATTAATGAGAAATTCTGAAGAACTAAACCACTAAATCACTCAATTAGTTTGCACGAATCCCTCAATGCATGTTGTGCTAATGACCTAATATACTACTCAAATCAAGTTAAAGAACACCCACAAATGGAAGTGTGTGATGCCATACCCACCAGCCATGACAGATTAACTAGTCATGTGAAAAAATTGGGTGTTCTTTAACTTCTTTTGAGTAATATATATCCAGCAGTGTTTGAAATTAAGGTTCTCCTAGTCAGCGTTAGAAACAAACTGTTTTCGTCCACTAGTCCTCATAATGATAACATATAGCAAAAGCCTTGAAAAGGGCACATTTCAACTAGTCCTTATGATACCTTAACTATTGGGCAGTTTGGCAAGGACTAGAGGACTAGTGCCAATTTCTACCATTGCTAGTGTCCTTGAGGTATTCTGCTGTAGCATTATGATTTAATCCAGCCTAGGGACACCTGAATCTTGATGTATTTCATCAAATCCGTGACAAGGATGCTTAGACTTAACTTCAAACACTGTCATGTATGTTGTAACCATGGTAACCATGGCCATGACGGTAACTGATAATGTATTACAACTTTCAGATGCCTGCATGCCAGTGTGTGGAGTCAGACACTGTGACTATTGAAATATCCCATTCCTCTTACCACCCCACCCCTGTATCTATGGCAGTGTTTTGCTGTGTTTACCCCCGTTGCCTTGTGTGTGTATATCTATAGCAGTGTTATGCTGTGTCTCCTGTCACCTGGGTGCTTCTGTTTCACACAGTGTTTTCCCTGTTTCTCTGTTTCATTGCTGTGTCTTACAAAGGTGTTAATTGTTTTTGCACACAGTATTATTGTAAATCGGCACTGTATTTTATTCCTCACACTCACTCGCTCACTCACTCATGGGTCATTTGTTGAACAGAGAATTCTAATCAAATTATAATTAAAATTAAAATGTTTTAACTATTGAGATTTATACTTACCACATATATATCATGTATATCATAATATTTAATAAATGCTAATTGTACTTCAGTACCTTGTATTATTGATTTCGTCTACCACAGCGTGTGACATTTAAGAATATGGCTGAAAATGGTTTGTGTTAATAGAAGTCCTGGTAGACCAATTCGCTTGACTAAAGACCCACTTGTTTGACTATGGACCCACATGCTTGATGACAGAACTCTGGCTTGACTATAGACCCACTTGTTTGACTAAAGACCAACTTGCTTGACTAAAGACCCACTTGCTTGACTAAAGACCCACTTGATGATAGATCCACTTGCTTGACTATAGACCCACTTGCTTGACGACAGACCAACTCTGTTGATGACAGACCTGCTTGCTTGATGACAGACCTACTTGCGTGATGATAGACCCACTCGATTGATGACAGACCACGTCTTGCTTGATGACAGATCTACTTGCTTGATGACAGAACTACTTGCTTGACAACAGACCCACTTGTTTGACGACAGACCAACTCTGTTGATGACAGGCCTGCTTGCTTGATGACAGACCTACTTGCTTGATGATAGACCCACTTACTTGACGACAGACCAACTCTGTTGATGACAGACTTACTTGCTTTACAACAGACCCACTTGCTTGACGACAGACCAACTCTGTTGATGACAGAACCACTTGCTTGATGACAGGCCCATTTGCTTGACGACAGACCGACTCTGTTGATGACAGACCCACTTGCCTGATGACAGACCGAAATAAAGTTAACTGACTTTGTCGTGTCTTGATGTTTGCAACAGCTTATACACATCCTTGGATATGATAACAGGTTTTCCATTATCTTCTGTGACCATTTAGTAAAATAAAATAACAGGAGAATCTGTTAAAGGAATTGGTATTGCACATTTTCTTATATCCTGGGCCAACTCAAAATACCATAAACTCTATGTCTTCCACTGATGTCACACGCTGTACTGGCAGTCAGCGATCTGGTCATCGGCCAGTACAGCTTGTGAGATGAAATATCCATTTGCCATTTGTCAATGAATATTGTTTGCAGTCTTTATACATGTATTTCAAGTTAATATATGTAAATATGTTGTCCTAAGTGTCACCAGTGATGATGGCAGCATTGTTCTCTTGATGCTCCCAGTACAAAGATTAAATTGAATAAGAAGAAAACAACTCATCATTAACTTCATGGATGTTTATTAATCATCTTGAACATCATCTTGTAAAATGATCTTCATAAAAGCGTTCAATAATTCAATGAATTAGTACCTTTTTATCTTCCTACCAGTTGAGCACAACCTCTCTCCAACATGTTTTTTACCCATTGAACAATGTTGAATCTCCTACTTTGTCTTTGACAACTGCAATATGTCCATGGGTTGGGAATATGTTAATTTTTTAAGTCTTCTTTTATCATCATCATGAATTGATTAATCCCTCACCAAGTCTGAAGAGTTGGAAAATAATAATTCATATTTGGTATGTTATTAAATCATGTTACAGCAATCAATTTTGAGATATCTGCTGGAAAATACGCAAGAGTTGTATGTTCCAAGCGTTTTCTGAAGGTTAGGCCTAGGACTAATTACCCTGATAAATCATGTTTATGGACGTCAGATATTGTTTTTGCTGTATCAATATGTTTGCTCTTGATTGCACACACTAATGTGTCTCCATAACCATGGTAACCAATAACATATGGCAGATTGCTTAATCTGGAAAAAAATATCAACCTAGTTCGGCATGTCCAAGAAACTTGCTCCACTAGCATGACTGGGAAGACGTTAGAAGTAGTTGTATGTCTGCCAGCAGTATATTGATTGGCTGTGTGCAGGCACAGACAGTGTAAGCTATCAAACAGTAATTAATCCATCTGTACATGGTGGTGATAATGAAATACCTTGCTTCTTAATGGAAAAAAACAAATTGCTTGTGTTGGCAGATGAGGAAGATGAGGATCTGCCTGAAGAAGAGCCTTTAGTGGAAATTGAACTTACACCAGAAGAGAAAGAAGGTAAGGGAAATAACTCTTTGTATGTGTTTCTATATATCTGTTGCTTTTGGGGTTGGTCCTGATGCATTAATATCCTATAATGTTTACCATGCGTTTTATCCATTGATCTTCTGGGTAGATTTGTCTGCAGTTTCCTGTGCTTGTAAGCTGGGTGGGTGGTCAGTAGGGCTAAAACAATATCCCGGGACACTGATGCATCGCGATTCACTCCATACGATACGGTGCGCGATTTGTGAGATTCTGTATCTCGATTTTTCAAGATAAACTTTTATCACAGATACAATTTAAATGTGTTTTAAATGAATTTCAAATTCGAAACGAGTCATAAAAACGTAGGGACTATATAATTTTCGCTACACACACGTACGTCTTTGAAAATACAGCGGCTATGCTAGCTTTGTATATCAGTAGCAGTTCAAGCTTTCTGATTGGCTGAGCGGTCTCGAACTCAAACATATCAGAAAAAGCAGACATTCGTCCTTTGCTAGAGAAACCACCAGGGACTTACTGTGAAAATGGCAAGTTACTAGTACTTATGTCTCTTATCTTCTCTAATCACTATGTGTATCGTAGGGTATCGAGATACGTGTTGAATCGTGATGTAAGTATCGAGATAGTATCGTATCATGACCTAGGTGTGTCGTTGCAGCCCTAGTGGTCAAGCTTCGTGATTAATGGTGTGGGGTGTTGCTCATTATATCAACCATTGGTTTGTCTGGTCGAGACTTTCATTTACTTTACCATGCTGTTTGATTTCTGAAAACAGTCTAATTAGGAAGGTGTACTTGGAATTAGGGCAGAGTTGTGTCCCTTGGGTGGTATTCAAGTTGTGGGTTTGGAACCCAAATGAACCTAGGTAGGTTCTGATTGTGGGTCTTTGTCCTCTTGGCTGAAACTGACCCAACAATATGTGCCTGGGCCTTGTTCCACAAATCGATCCTGGCGCTACGACCATCATATCAACCATAAGTCTATCTCAAAGTATGGCAATTAGCATGATTAGGATCACCTTAGTGCTAAGATTGCTTTGTGGAATGGGGCCTGGATGCTCCTGTGACATTATATTCAACATAAGGCTTAACAAAATAATAGTCTTGGTTCTCAGACACCCTGCATCATCCTAAAGTTCGCTGCTCTTTTCGTATTTATTTCCATTTTAAAAAAAACAAACCCCAAAACCTTAAATATTACAAGTCCAATGGTAGTCAAAAACTGTATTCCAGTATTTTACTCAAGGAATACATTTATGTAGGAGGCCCTTTCCCAGGTTGATTGTACACAACTGTTTTTTTGGTTACAAACTAGTTGAGTTACAACAACAAAAACACAAAAAACTGCCCACCCACACTATATTTTCAAAAGCTATTGCCTGAGAACTAATTCTGTTATTTTATAAGCCTTATGGATTATTGATGACCAGCAGTTTGCCTGATCCAAGTGCAGATTGTTTTACAGGTTCTCCTAATGTAGTTGCGAATGTGATATTACTGTTAACACACAACATGGAATAGAAACACTCACTCTAACAGCTAATGTCTTTCAATCAATGTGATAAGCAAGACCTGCTTCAATTGTTCATATATGATGAAGGGAAGATTTCTTTTTCTGTGAAGCAACTGTTTCTATAATTGCTCATTCAGTTCAAATCAACTTTCTTTCATTACATTCATTTTCAAGACAGCTGTGATAACAAAGTATGTTATGCTTCCTGGGGTTTGTGGTTGTATGAAACTGAACTGAAGACAAATAGGAAAACTCTTCTATCAAAAACATTCTCTTGGATTTGTTTTCAGCTGAAGAAATGTACCAGCAAGGTCAAGCTTTGATCAATGGCACATTCTCAAAGGACTACACACGGTGAGTCTACAGTTCCCCATGCTTGTCATAAGTCCACAGTTCCACATGCTTGTCATAAGTCTACAGTTCCCATGCTTGTCATAAGTCTACAGTTCCCCATGCTTGTCATAAGTCTACAGTTCCCCATGCTTGTCATAAGTCTACAGTTCCCCATGCTTGTCATAAGTCTACAGTTCCCCATGCTTGTCATAAGTGTGTAGTTCCCCATGCTTGTCATAAGTCTACAGTTGCCCATGCTTGTCATAAGTCTACAGTTCCCCATGCTTGTCATAAGTCTACAGTTCCACATGCTTGTCATAAGTCTACAGTTTCCCATGCTTGTCATAAGTCTACAGTTCCCCATGCTGGTCATAAGTCTACAGTTCCCCATGCTTGTCATAAGTCTACAGTTCCCCGTGCTTGTCATAAGTCTACAGTTCCCCATGCTTGTCATAAGTCTACAGTTCCCCATGCTTGTCATAAGTCTACAGTTCCCCATGCTGGTCATAAGTCTACAGTTCCCCATGCTTGTCATAAGTCTACAGTTCCCCATGCTTGTCATAAGTCTACAGTTCCCCATGCTTGTCATAAGTCTACAGTTATGAATGATTCATAAAACAACATGCACTCACTCACTCACTCACTCACTCACTCACTCACTCGTCCATGCCAGGGATTCCCTTCAAAAGCCTGAAGGAGCGAAGGTGCAACTATAGTATCACAAAACACTTTAACCAGAATCAATTTTTGCAATCGTTGCACAAGTAAGCATGGTTAGGGTAGTGTTTCAACCATCAGTAGTAAGTGATCAACTAAAGTCTGCATCTTTCGTCTCTAGTCCAAAGCCCGAGACTAGTAAATTTCTGGGCACACTTATACAAAGCAATTTAGCGCGATGACTATTGTAGCTGCCATACTCTAATGTAGATTTAGGATAATCGTGCTAAGATCATTTTGTGCAAGCTGGCCCTGGTCTAGTAAGATCAGCTTATACTAGGCCATATGCTAATGCTAAAATCTACTGACCCGTGAAGATGCAGGTAGAGAAAAGGTCTTCAGCAACCCATGTTTGCCGCACTATGCTTGTTGTTAGATGCAACTAACGGGATCAGGTGGTCAGGCTTGCTGACTTGGTTGATTCATGTCATCGTATCCCAGCTGCGTAGATCGATGCTCATCATGTCGATCACTGAATTATCTGGTCCAGACTCGATTATTTACAGAATGCGGTCATATAGCTGGAATATTGCGGAGTGCGGCATTAAACAACAAACAAACAGAGTGAAAATACTGCCATAATTCAAGTTTGGCTAGTTCACTAAAGTTTTTTGTCACAGACTTCGTCCAAATATCAACAGCAAATACCCAGTAGTTGTTGTCAGAGATACCAGACTGGGAGCCATTGTGATGGGACATTACTTTACGGGGGGAATCAGCAGGAATGAATGCCTCTTGGCAGTCAACTGGGTGTCGAGTAGTGGCTAAAGTGCTTGTCAGGCCGAAGACCCTGGTTCGATTCCCGTCATGGGTACAACATGTGAGGCCCATTTCTGGTCTTCCCCGCAGTGATGTTGCTGGAATATTGCTAAAAATGGCGTAAAACCATACTCACTCACTTGGCAGTCAACATATATATAATTTTGAAATGTGAGTTCCCCATTCAGAGATGCAACTTAACCCGAAACATTTACGTGTCCGTTTTGTCATACCATATATGGACACCAGCTAAAAAACATGAAGTTCTAGTCCTTGCGATACCTTACTATGAGAGAAACTAATTATGACTAGTGGGCAGGTCCAGTATGCACCCCAGTCATTCATTGTTTTCTATTTACTTCTAATTACACTAATATACTGTCAAAGCCTTTTGCATACTTAAACTAGTATTGTCTTCCAACAATTACAGTGATCTGACAAATGTGAATTTCAGAGCATACATCCATTTCCTGAAAGCTGCCCAGAAGAACCACACAAAGTCATTGGAGCAGGTCGCTTTTGGCCATCTGTTCGGGGACTACCTGCCTCACAATCTGTCCCGAGCCAAGGAGATATTCGAAGACCTGTCTCAGAGGGGGTCCCCTACAGGCCAGTTGGTAGGTTGAAGTGGATGCCACACTTGGCTAGTGTTCCTCAGGGCAAATATTGATACTTATAATGGATCAGACAGACAATATGGGTGATGATGGTTAGCACTTAGAGGGACCACCTTGGAAAAAGGACTGTTTTTAAGTCATCAAGTCAAACAGGACCCATGTATTCATATATATCTTACACTGTTACATGATGCAGCATTAGAAATTGGCACGAGTCCTATAGTCCTTGTCAAACTGGCCAATAGTTAAGATATCATAAGGATTTGCAGAAATTTGCTCTTTTTAAGGGTTTTGCTATATGTTATCATTATAAGGACTAGTGGCGAAAACTGTTAGTTTCTACCGCTGTGATTGTAAAATATAAAGGAACATGTAACAGTGTGGTAGAATTAGTGGTGGGACGATACACTGATGCATCGGAGGATCGCAATTTTTTTCTTCTTGATACAAGTATCGATCACAGTCGCCACAAAGTAAAAAATATTGATTCTTACTGACAGTGTTAATTTTAATAACTGTTACATCAAACACCAGTTAGTAGTGAAAACATAAATATCTTCATCCATTGTGACATACATGACACTGCAATCTGTAAATCGTCAATGTGCATTGAAAAAAATGGCTTAGGGGCCACAGAAAAGAGCACATGCAAGTATTGTGATACTAATCGGACCGCACAGTTGGTGTATCGCCCCTGCCCTAAGAAGAATAATGCTTCATGAGTCTTCATTTAAGTGAGGGGCGGTGGGGTTAAAATATTCGCTCTTCAAGGGCGGACTCGATTACCCACATGGGTACAATGTGTGAAGCCCATTTTCTTGTGTCTCCCCTCGTGATATTGCTGGAATATTGCTAAAAGTGGCGTAAAACCATACTCACTCACTCTTTTAAAAGTTGCCTGTGAAGATCCGGGTCAGAATAGCTCTTCAGCAACCCATGCTTGCCGTAAGAGGCGACTACCGGGATTGGGTGGTCAGGCTCGCTGTCTTGGTTGATGCATGTCATCTTATCCCAATTGCATGGGTCAGTGCTCATGATATCAATCAATGGATTGTCTGGTCCAGACTCAAATATTTACAGACCACCATCATATAGCTGGAATATTGCTGAGTGCGGAGTTAAACAACAAACAAAACAAACAACTTTACAAAGTGTGCCAGCCAAGTCCGTGAAGTCAGAAGCAATAGACGTTATCTTTTGCTGATGTTTTATTACTCAACAGACTCTGACTGCATGAGATTATACCACTCTCTGTGATGGTCCTGGTTTGTCAAGACTTGATGGAGTACATCTCAGTGTGATGCTCCTGCCTTACTACAGTGTAAAACAATACACAAACTGTTCTGTTCCACAATAATTTTGTCCTACTTGACAACTCTCCTTCTCTCTGCTCTAGGGTCTTGGCTTCCTGTACAGTGCGGGGCTTGGTGTCAATTCAACTCAAGCGAGGGTAGGTTACCACATGTATACACATACAGAGAAACATTGGTAGTCCACAAAACCCGTGCTCTCCATTATTGTTGGGAATGTACCAGTGTCCTCTAGTTCTGAGACAAGTACAAATCAGGAAGGACTACTGTATTCGATGTCGTAAGCTACCCATTCTAAAATGAACCCGTGAAGATTTGGGGGTAGAATAGGTCTTCAGCAACCCATGCTTGCCATAAAAGGTTACTATGCTTGTCGTAAAAGGCGACTAACGGGATCGGGTGGTCAGGCTCACTGACTTGGTTGATACATGTCATCAATCCCAATTGCGTGGATCGATGCTCATGATATCAATCACTGGATTGTCTGGTCCAGACTCGATTATTTACTGACCGCCGTCATATAGCTGGAATATTGCTGAGTGCAGCGTTAAACAACAAACCAACCAACCAACCAACCAACCATTCTAAACTGTGCCCCCTGATCAACATTAAGACCAGTCTGTAAGTAATCTTCATAAGCATCTCATACTTATCTGAAGATTTATCTGAGTATTCATATTTTCTTGTGTATATTACAATTTTTTTCACAGAAAACACAGCAGGGTGGTATGGGTATATATTTATGTAGTTACTATAATCAAAAATGTTTTAGTCTATTTTGAAGTTTGAACTTTTATTTGTTCTCTACCGCTTGATCTCTGACATATTTATACCCCTTTGTCAATTTTCTATACATCCTGGGCATTTATTACAGTGAATACAGTACTTGTTTTCTCTCCCAATCTTGTTACCGTATTCGACGTAATAAGCACCCCGCTCTAATAAGTGCCCACGGTGACATATGCTGATACATTGGCTGGTGAACAATCCCAATTAGCACCCCTTCCGATTGATCAATGTACACAAGACTTATTTATTCGCATATAATACACACTTGTGTGCTATATGCACCCTTATGTGCAATAAAATTCTGGAAAAATATATCTGTTGTCCATAAACATTTCAGGGTGTCAGCTTAACCATGAAATATATCTTTCAACTCTGTTTTTTCACCAAAATAATATTCTAATAAGAGCCCCATAGCTCTAATTTTGAGAGCGCCCTGGGCGCTTATTACGTCAAATACAGTACATGATTTTAGCCACAAGTCTGAATGAGCTGTGGACTATTTGATGTAATGATTGGTATCAATGCACGTGGCGGAGGGAACATTATTGCTTATCCATGATTTGTTTATCTGGAAACTAGTTAACATGTAGGATTTCACTTTGGTTAACATTCTAAAGAAACCATGATTACCGACTGAACTTCGCTACCCTGACAATCCACAAAAGAAACCTAAATTGGACCACATTCAGTTTTGAATATGGCATTAATAATTATTAGTGGTCTGTTTTAGAGCTTCTGGCAGACAATAAAACCATCAGCAGTAGCTGAAAAATATTGTGTATGTAGAAACAGGCATGCTAGGTGTAAATTTCTTTGTTTAAATAACTACACAAGATACAAACTGGAACTAAATTATATTATTATTGTTTCTTCAGTCTCTGATCTACTTCACTTTCGGAGCTCTGGGCGGGGACCCAATGGCGCAGATGGCAATGGTGAGATGATCAGAACAATTTGTCACTACATACAGTTTTCAATATTTTCAGGTTTTTGCACCATGGATTAAATTATCATAACGTTGTTGTGACAAATAGATGTCACCTAAGACTTTAGTTATTCAGCCTTCCATACTGTACCCATAATTTTGATTTTTTTCTATATTTGAGGCATCCATTTATATAGTGCTGTACTCCATGCATAAGCATGCTCTAAGCACTTAGACATTATAACCCTGGTCAATGGATCCGTGTGCACTCAACAATCTTTCTCAGCTCCTTGGGGAGTATACAACCCTGTTAGGCGCTGAAAGGTTAACAGCATCATATAGAGGTTGGTTTGACGTGTGTTGATGTGTGCAGGGTTACCGCTACTGGGCAGGAGTTGGAGTGGAGGCCAAGTGTGAGTCCGCCCTCACCCACTACAAGAAGGTGGCCAGCACAGGTGAGTTCCACCACAACAAAGACAGTTTCGTTATGGTTTGGGACCCGTGAAGATCCGGGGTAGAATGGGTCATCAGCATCCCATGCTTGCCGTAAAAGGCGGCTATGCTTGTCATAAGAGGTGACTAATGGGATCGGGTGGTCAGGCTCGCTGACTTGGTTGATGCATGACATCGATCCCAATTCTGTGGATTGATGCTCATGGTATCAATCACTGGATTGTCTGGTCCAGACTCGATTATTTACAGACCACCATCATATAGCTGGAATATTGCTGAGTGCGGCGTTAAACAGCAATCAAACAATCAATCAAACAATCAATCAAACAAACAAACAAACAAACAAACAAAAAAATCTGTATGGTTTGGAAATACACAAATTGTGACAAACTACTGATACGTTAGCATAATGGACAGGATAGTAATGACCTCAATCTCTGTTGGGGTAATAACTGGGGATATAAGTGATGTTGAGACTATCGTGATATATTATTTGAGATGGTAGTAACATTGGGGTTTCGAAAATTTGGGAGCTAAAATAAGGCTGTGATATTTTTAGCTTTTGTTTCTTCAGTTAATGTAATGTTTGATTTTAGACTTGTGTGAATCTATTCTAGATATACTGTGTTATTAATTTACTGTACACACTGCAGAGTGAAAGAAATATTGACAGGTTATAGTGAAGTTTATATGTGCTTCATTTGAAACATTGCTATGAAAAGCTTCTTCAACCACTGCACATAATCTGCCATGTAACTAACTAAGCCTACGCTTCGAAACATTTTTGACAAATTCTCGATAACAAATTTGAAACCTGAACAAAACAACATTCTTGAATGGCTAATAGATGGTCAAGATTGTATGGATTCAGTTGTTAAGCCCGCAACTATCGTTCGGAATACCCCGTGTTAAAGTTTACGAGGTTGCATGATTAGAAACTCACATTCCGACTGTCACTTTCATGATCCGGTAAGCGACGCTCTGATTGGTCGGATGAAAGGTCATTCTGACGTGACCCCTTATGGGATGTCCTCAGATCTTTGTTTAGCAATAGCGAGAACTAAGATCTGATGTTAATGAGATTGGAAAAGGTCCTCACCAACCTATGCTGTTTGTAAGAAGTGACTAAATGGATTGGTTGGTCTGGCTTGGTGACTTGATTGTGTGTCATCTTACCCAACGGCAAGGATTGTTAATCAGAATATCAGTCACCAGATTGTTTGGTCCAGAAACGATATTTAAGGGCTGCCGTTACATAGCTAGAATATTGCGGAGTGTGGCGCTAAACAACAAACTGATCCTCCTGTTGTGTTGACAGTGGCAGACAGTGTGTCTCTGTCAGGTGGCCCCACCGTGCAGCGTGTCCGTCTCCAGGAGGAGAGTGAGAGTCAGACAGGCAACAGCCCCCTGCTGGATGATGACCTCTTGCAGTACTACCACTTCCTGGCCGACAAGGGTGATGTCCAGGCACAGGTCAGTCTTCAGTTCAAAATACCCCATGAGGCCTCCAGGACAGACTAGATCCCTAAACTCCAGTCTTTAGTTCCAAATAATCCACGGGGACTCCAGGACAGACTAGATCCCCAGACTCCAGTCTTTAGTTCCAAATATCCTATGGGGACTCCAGGACAGACTAGATCCCTAGACTCCAGTCTTTAGTTCCAAATACTCCACCGGGACTCCAGGACAGACTAGATCCCCAGTCTCCAGTCTTTTGTTCCAAATATCCCAGGGGGACTCCAGGACAGACTAGATCCCCAGTCTCCAGTCTTTTGTTCCAAATATCCCAGGGGGACTCCAGGACAAACAAGATGTCACACCATGATGGCTTTAATAATTGCTCATGCCATCAGTCACTGGGTGCAGACTCTTGCTGAAATATTTCTTCTGCCAGCTCAGAAGGAGATCACTTACTCCATTGTCTTGAGACAGTGGTTCTTCCTTTTAACATATACCAATGCCAGGGGAGATAATCTTTCCAGGATAACCTTCAACACAAATACAATTTTCGGTATATATCTGTTTTGCATGACAAGGCAAGATAATAATTAAGTAAATAATGTTACGTTTGAGATATAATAAAATTTTATTTTAAATTATTATTCTGAGAAAGGTCGTTTGTCACTAAATTCATGAGCGATATCAAGAGTTCTCATAGATTTGACCCGTGAAGATTCCGGGGTAGAATAGGTCTTCAGCAACCCATGCTTGCCGTAAAAGGTGACTATGCTTGATGCATGTCATCGTATCCCAATTGTGTGGATCGATGCTCATGATATCAATCACTGGATTGTCTGGTCAAGACTCGATTATTTACAGACCGCTGTCATATAGCTGGAATATTGCTGAGTGCGGCGTTAAACAACAAAGCAACCAACCAAAAAGCAATCTCATAGATTTTCTAAAAGTTGAATAGCCTGTTAACAGAAAATGTTTCTAAGTTATTTTCATCCCACCCAACTCACAGTGTTGTAGTGTTCCTGTTGTGTACACCCTCTGTACAGTACTGTGGTATCTCCATGTTGTACACAGTACTGTACTTACACCTACTGTACTTATTCCAGGTTGTGCTAGGACAGCTGTACTACCAGGGAGGTCGAGGAGTGGCCATCAACCATGAGGTAGGTCAGCACCAGGATTTGCCAGAGTTGCATCACATGTTACAATTTCGTACATTTGTCCTTGTTGTGACGCCATCTTTTTAGCTCACCTGGGTTTTGCCTAACTAATTTTGTTCTAATGAATAGTTTGTCACCATTTAGCAAAGCATCCTTCATGGTACAGTACTGCTGTCTTCTAGTGTCATCTATGTATTTTATGCACATCCCCTTTCTGTTTCCACAGCAGGCTCTGCAGTACTTCCTGATGGCAGCCGAGTCGGGGAATGCCAACGCTCTAGCCTACCTGGGCAAGGTACACTTCACAAGCATACACATGCCCTGTATAATCCCCTGCAAAGGAGTGGAATTGGGATATAGAAATGATTGCTGTCTGTACATTTGGGCCGTTATGATTCACTCGCGTATTCGGTGAATCCAACCGTATCTATTCATGAATTGAATTCGTAATTCGTGGCCACTAGAATAGAATATATATGAATATACAATCATGTGCATGTACATACCCTGTACCTAAAACATCCATAAGAACATATGATATGCATAGATTTCTTTAAAGACAACACTGTTATAATATTTAATTTGACAGGAATTTGGTCACTGGTCATTGTAGCATTTGAGCAGAGACTAAGACTAAGTACCTGGACAAGTGCAGTATATAAATGTATGATATAGATAATTAACAAACCACGTCAAATAACTTATGTTGTTAATGTTTCACTGAATATAACAAATAATTCATCAACTGCTGACTTATTATTGTATTCGTGAATTAATATTCGCCTCATAGGTTATTTGTTGCAGCCCTACCGTACATACTTCTGTACTTCCGTCCATCCGTCCGTGCTGTTTTTATTTTCGGAACAGAACTCAAAATCCATGAGAGATATCTTAACATAACTTGGCACATAGATAGGTCTAGTGATGAACTGGTGCCTTTTGATAGTTTGGGACTTTTGAAAAATGTATTTTTCGAGTTTCCATGGCAACGACTTTGACTGAGACTTAAAATGGTGGTAGTGCTCGTGGAGGGCAAATGCCCTGCACACAACCAGATATGTCATATTATATGAGTATTTCATGCTTGTTCTTCATGGAATTATTAAAAGACTGAAAGTATCACATGCTAAACTCTGTTATAGGACATGTTGGGACAAGTGTGATCTCACTGCACAGGGACAAAGCTGAGGCTTAAAAAAATAAAAGAATTGGTTCTCAGGCAATGACTTTAGAAGATATAGTGCGTATGGACGGTGTTTTTTGTGTTTTTTTGCTTTCCAAACTAGTGTGTAACAAAATAAACAGTTGTGTACCATCAACCTGGGAAAGGGCCTCCCTACATAAACAAGTATACAAACTCCTATTGCCGCCATAACAATAACACGAGATGTGCAGTAAAGCAGTGCACATGTAAAGGGAAGTAACTGTGTGCTATATTGGATGGCATTGTTTTTAAGTATTAGGATTTTAATATTTTTTTGAAAATGGAAAAAAACCCGAAACGTGCGGCAGACTTTATGATGCGGGCGGTGCCTGAGAACCAAGACTATTATGTTTTTTGGCCTAAGACTTACTTCCATTGTCATCATTGGTGTAAGATAAATTATGAGCTATTCGATATTGAATTTGACTATTTTTTTAATGAGAGCCATGCTTTCAATTGACATAATGTGAAAATAGCCATAACTCTGTGATATGAGGCCTCTGATTGGTTGTTATGTTCAGACACACTCAAGTCGTGTTATTGATTGATTTTTGTGGTGCAGACAGGGAACTTATTGCATGTGCACTGATATTACTTTGGAACTCAAACATGTTGAAGATACTTTATTGTAATGTTGAAATTACTTTTTTTTGCACCACTGATTACTTCAAAGCTTCAATTAAGGTTGGCATCTCTGCCATTGTTGACAAGTACTAGACAGTATGTTGCCTCAATACTGGTTATTGAGCCATTGGTGACAAGTACTACAGAGTATGTGGCCTCAATACTGGTTATTGAGCCATTGGTGACAAGTACTACACAGTATGTGGCCTCAATACTGGTTATTGAGCCATTGGTGACAAGTACTAGACAGTATGTAGTCCCAGTATTAGTGTATTGAGCCATTGTGACAAGTACTACACAGTATGTGGTCCCAGTATTAGTGTATTGAGCCATTGTGACAAGTACTAGACAGTATGTGGTCCCAGTATTAGTGTATTGAGCCATTGTGACAAGTACTAGACAGTATGTGGTCCCAGTATTAGTGTATTGAGCCATTGTGACAAGTACTACACAGTATGTGGTCCCAGTATTAGTGTATTGAGCCATTGTGACAAGTACTACACAGTATGTGGTCCCAGTATTAGTGTATTGAGCCATTGTGACAAGTACTAGACAGTATGTGGTCCCAGTATTAGTGTATTGAGCCATTGTGACAAGTACTACACAGTATGTGGTCCCAGTATTAGTGTATTGAGCCATTGTGACAAGCACTACACAGTTTGTGGCCCCAGTATTAGTGTATTGAGCCATTGTGACAAGCACTACACAGTATGTGGTCCCAGTATTAGTGTATTGAGCCATTGTGACAAGCACTACACAGTATGTGGCCCCAGTATTAGTGTATTGAGCCATTGTGACAAGCACTACAAAGTATGTGGCCCCAGTATTAGTGTATTGAGCCATTGTGACAAGCACTACACAGTTTGTGGTCCCAGTATTAGTGTATTGAGCCATTGTGACAAGCACTACACAGTTTGTGGTCCCAGTATTAGTGTATTGAGCCATTGTGACAAGCACCAGACAGTATGTGGTCCCAGTATTAGTGTATTGAGCTATTGTTGACAAGCACTACACAGTATGTGGTCCCAGTATGAGTGTATTGAGCCATTGTGACAAGCAATACACAGTATGTAATCCCTGGTGTGTTACAGATGTACACAGAGGGGAGCCCGGTGGTGAAGCAGAACAACATGACAGCCTTCCACTACTTCAAGAACGCTGCAGACAAGGTAACGCCACACTTCAAACTCTTGAAAACACAATGAAAGACCCAGAAATATTGTCAACGAAACAACCCTGTGTGGCCTTGGGTTACACTTGTTCACAGCCAACATTTTATTGTTTGTCGTAAGAGGCGACAATAGGGATCAGGTAGTCAGCCATGGCGACTTGGTTGATTGCATGTTGTTGTACTGTGATAGCAGTCTGTCGTTGCTCATGATATCAACCACTGTTATTTTCTGGGCCAGTCTTGATTACTTACAAGCTGTTATGACACTTATCAATAATTTGGTGATACATTATTTGCAGTAACTATTAGGTTTTTACTCTTTCTACTTTCAATCAGGTGTGATCAATGGCACAGAATAATAGTATGATTTTGAACTTTGGTTTTCAAACTTTGGATGTTCTATCCTGAACATTCGTGTGCATTCTATGAAGGACCATGGGGATCATGTATGAACAGTTTCATTTACGAATAAATAACTATATTCCTCTCATATCTGACATGTTACCATGGTTACGCAAAAATGAAACTTAAATGATTGATTTCTATTTTCTTTACATATGGATACTGTTGTTAGACTTAGTGACTTGGTTGATAGCGTGTCATGTTGACTCGATGGTAGGACCACTGCTCACAATATCTATCACTGGATTGTCTGGTCCAGAGTAAATTATTTGGAATACTGAGTGTGGCGATAAACAACAAACAAACATATGGACCAAATTGTAAGAGAAGAGTTCTGTGTAAGCTCACACTAAATGAATCCCTGTGACTGTTTGTTTGACAGGGCAACCCCGTGGGACAGACTGGCCTTGGCTTGATGTATATGAACGGCATGGGGGTGGAGAAGGTAAGAGACTCCGTCCCTCACCATGTGCTACCTGGGGGACTTCTGTTAAACGCAGTCCCAGAAATATTGTCTGGATTGTAAATTACATGTATCCGCAGATTCAAATACCACAGGAGAAGGCCATTGTATGCCTCACAACCTCCTGAGGCAAGGGCGTTAACGTAATATGAAATCCAGTTTCCACTTTCCACCTTTGCCAAACTAGGATGGAATTTCAGGGCTCGATCGTAGCGCCACCAGTGGCTATTACGCGTTATGTCCCTTCTATGTCCCTCCTATTGACCAATCAGATTCCACCGCTCATATCACTTGCATTTGCTTCAAACAAAACAGCTGCGCCCAGTCAAGATGATCTGATTGATAGTCAAGATCCAGTTGAAATCCATGTTGTCTACGAACTGGATATTTAGTTAGTGCAGCCAACATGTAACTCCGGAATTCCAGCCTAGTTCGGCAAGGGTGGAAACTGGATCTCCATCATGTTTATAGTCAGTAATTCCCTTGCCTCTGGAAGATGGGTACCTCATGATCCCCCTTTTGTTACAGACACTGGGTTATTATGTATTAATGTTAGCAGATGAAATGTTTGTAAACAGAATGTGACATGTGTGCCACTTGTGCAGGACTTGACGAAGGCAGTGAGATTCTTCACCATGGCAGCAGACCAGGGCTGGGTGGATGGACAACTGCAGCTGGGAATCATGCACTTCAGTAAGTTGATAAGACGCCTCCCTCTCCTCCCTCTCTCTCTCTTCCCCCTCCCTCCCTCCCTCTCACTCTGTCTCTCTCTCCCTCTCTTCTACCTCCCTCTCTTCTACCTCCCTCCCTCCCCCCTCCCTCCCTCCCTCTCCCTCCCTCCCTCCCTCCCTTCTCTCTCTCTCTCTCTCTCTTGCCCCTATCTCTCTCTTTTTCTCTCTCTCACTCTCTCTCTCGCTCTCTCTCCAATTCCGGTGTACCAATTTTGACATGGGCAGTAGAAAGTTTCATGTCTGTCTGTCCTGTGTGCAGGTGGTCTGGGTGTGAGACGAGACTACAAGCTGGCGGTGAAGTATTTTAACCTAGCGTCACAAGGTGGCCATGTCCTGGCGTACTACAACCTGGCACAGATGCATGCTACAGGGACGGGTGTGCTGCGCAACTGCCACACCGCTGTCGAGGTGAGTCACACAATTCACCTACACTACTGACCAGGTTTAGATGGTAGATAAGCCGAAGTTATTGAGAGCGCTGGCTTAAAAGATTGATAATCGGAATTATCGTCGATGGGAGGAAATATTAATGATAATGGATATGAAAATTGCGCATCGATAATATCTTACATGAACAATTGCGATGAAATAAAGTTACTAAATTTACTGACACTTGTTATTATCAATCATGTCAATTGCCAAAGACGGAAAGCAACTGTTTTTGTTAGAACACAAATGTCCACAGAGTATTCCATGCATGAATGTGTCGTAAGTGTGTTGAATTCTATCGGATTTTTTGTATATTTGCTGAAAGTTACTTCTCCGATATTTATCGATAAGTGATCAATATTTAGTCAACGATTATTGATATCTATGTTGAGTATCGATAGACAGCCCTAGTTATTGATATGTTGTTTGAAAACCCTGTGGTACACGATGTATGTGACATTATGTTGAGTAAACTATGATTGCAGCTTTTCAAGAACGTTGCTGAGCGAGGCCGATGGTCGGAGATGCTGATGGATGCTCATCGCCTGTACAAAGAAGGACAAGTAGATGCCTCTCTCATCAAGTACACCTTCCTGGCAGAGCTTGGGTATGAAGTAGCACAGTCCAACGTCGCCTACATTCTCGATAATGGTAAGTGGAATAATAATACAAGACATTTTCTTATCTAATTGGTAAATTTACACAAACTGATAATTCTTACCTCATGGGTTTTGCCTTCAAGAAATTCATGCTTATCATAAAGCCAACTTATGTGGTGATCAGGGCCAACTTGTGCAAAGCGATCTTAGCGCTAAGATGATCGTAACTCCCATACTTTAACATAGGCTTATGATAATCTTAGCACTAAGATGGCTTTGTGCAAGTGCACCCAGGTGCAGGAGTGGTTCCATGATTTGTGAAGGGGTGGGGTGTAAGGGATGGGTCAGATCTGGTGCTGGGGGTGCACATGACACAAGACACGATGTTAACAAAGCCAATGACAGAGGGACTGACACAGGGTAACATGTAGAATACCGAAAAAAATGGTTGTGCACCCCTTTCTGGATCTGACAGTAACAGGCAATAGTTTGAGGACAAGTGAGCATACCTTGTTCGGGTATGTCCTTTTCGTCCTGATAAATTACTATGACATGCTTACTATCTGTCTCAGATCTCAGAGCACAGCAAAAGACTCCGTTTCCGAAAAATAGCACATGTTTTTCCAGAGAAAAGTTTTCACTTTTCACTTAAGGCCAATGTCCCAGACATATTGAGGTACTTTCATCTCAAGCAACATTGTTGTATAGAGTGTATTGGTCAGAGTACATTATCATATAATTGTACTACACATGACACCAACACCAAATGGACCAGGTCCTTTAGCCGTGCTCTAATAATTGCTAGATGTGATTTGTACTTGGATGGATGACCACCACAGAATTCTCTGCAGCTGAAGTAAAACCAACTTAGGCATACAATGTCATTCCAGTCTTTACTTTTGTGTTTCTTGCAATTGCTTTACTTAAAGGATGTTGTTTCCAGGTGAGAGTAAACTGTTTGAGGATTTTGAAGTACACCAGAGGGCGCTGTTACAGTACACACGGGCTGCATCTCAAGGTAGGCTGTCTTCACTGTATCTTTACAGATGCTCTCTACATGATTTGTTGGTTGGTTGGTTGTTTAACGCCGCACTCAGCAATATTCCAGCTACATGACGGCAATCTGTAAATTACCGAGTCTGGACCAGACAATCCAGTGATTGACATCATGAGCATCGATCCACGCAATTGGGATATGGTAACATGCATCAATGAAGTCAGCCAGCCTGACCACCCGATAACATGGGTTGCTGAAGACCTATTCTAACCTTGATCTTCTGAGGCTGAGAAACTACAATTACTATTAGACATATTTATCATATTTACAGGCTACCATTATATAGCTGGTATATTGCCACGGCTTGCACAGGCTTGAAAAGGTCTTGAGTTTTTCTAACCAATTCCTCTCTTCTGTAAATGACCTAAAAATGTAACTTTTCATACTTTGAAAAAACCCTAGTTCAGATGTGTTTAAGACCGTCTGGACTTGTTTACCTCAGGGTTATCTCCCTTCCAATGATTGCATGCTTCTGTCAGTCGATTATCCAGACGGTATAACAAGTGCAGAACGTACGATCTTTGCATGACCTTGAGAATGCTTCAAATTTTGTAATTAAAATATTTTATGAACATTGATTGCTGACTTTAGCATTAAGAACCATTGACTCACTCACACAAAGAAAAACTGTACTTTTTTGTCATGGTCACAATCAAGTACCAGGTCGTGACCATGTGGTGTTCCAGGTTAGGATAGGCACTTGGCCTGTTATAAGGGGCAACTAAATCATGTAAATAATATGGCTGATCAACTTGCCGATGACGTGTCATACCCTGACGGCATGGGACAACACTGATAATGTCAGTCACTGGTTTGAATGGCCCAGACTGCTGCTTTAAGATAAATTCCACAGACTTTTGGTTACCATGGTGTTTCTGCTGCAGGTTCTACATGGGCCAGAGTGAGGATGGGGGACTACCACTACTATGGGTTCGGGACAGACATCGACTATGAGTCGGCAGCCAACCACTACCGCGTGGCCTCCGAGCAGCAGCACAGTGCGCAGGCCATGTTCAACCTGGGCTACATGCACGAGAGAGGCCTTGGACTCCGACAGGTACAGTAGCCTTCAGTGTCAGTGTTGGGAAGACATTAAACACTCAATCTCATTAAGATCAGATCTTAGTTTTCGCTACCGCTAAACAAAGATCTGAGGACATCCCATCACGGGTCACGTCAGAATGACCTTTCGCGAAATTTGACCGGCCAATGAAATGACTGACAAGAAATCGACATTGGCCAATCGAAAGGCAGCTTTCTCCAGCTTTGCGACACTAGTTTCAAACTGGCGACTACGCTTCAAAACATATTTTGACAAATTCTTGGTAAAAAAATTTAAAACTGTTAAGAAGAACATTATGGAATGTCTTATAGATGGCATAGATTGTATGGATATAATCATAAAACCTGTTACTGTTGTTCGGAATACCCCGTGTTAAATGTATCATGGTTGCATGATTAGAAAACACATCCCGACTATCGCTTTCATGATCTGGTAAGCGACGCTCTGATTGGTTGGATGAAAGGTCGTTCTGACGTGGCCCCTAATGGGATGTCCTCAGATCTTTGTTTAGCGATAGCGAGAACTAAGACCTGATTTTAATGAGATTGTTAAACACTTGACAGCAGTGTTCGAAAAATTACTGCTTGCCTGCCTGCCCACCTGCCTGCGTCTTGTAACTTTTTGGTCGGGCTGCATGAAATTTTCCTCCACCTGCCTGACTGTTTGGCAGATAGTTTTAAGACTCCTCGTAGATTCTCAAGCAATTGTTTGCATTATTTCAACTAAATCAAGATGTGAATTGTCTCTTACTTTTCGCGAGTTTTAATGTTTGAATATGGGCAGGTAACTTTGAAGATGGGCAGGTGACATTTATGGGAGTATTATGTCGTATTTGGTTTTAAGATTACTTGTATTTCAAACACTGCTTGACAGACAGAACGTTTCAGATAATTAACAGGTATATGTACAGCATGCATGTCCAACTTTCATGTGTAATCTCTAAAACATGCTGATTAAATCATGGTCAGGTGCTCTGAGTGTTCCTACAGGAAACTAGGTGGACTCTTGTGTCTGTTGATAAAGATTCACTGATAGATTTATCACAGCACAAATATGTGGCCCTATTACACAAGTCAGTGCACTCATGAATGTCCAGAATTCGTCACAGTCGAATGTCTTGAATGAGGTATTTGCTCCGTTTTTGAATCCTGAAAACAGTGTTGGAAGCAGACAGAAAACTTGTTTTTATGAATACCAAGGGAGGTCACTCTATTTACAAGCTACTGAGGGAGTACAGTGTTTGACACTGACCAAAATTTGTCAGTGGCCAAAGGACCAGTACCCCAAAAATTGGTCCTGTTGATCTCTACTAGACAGGGGGTGTAGAGTTTAGTCGTTCAAACTGAAATTACTTTGTTCGTCCCCAAAATAACACTAGACTACGGACCACCATTTATTGAATTTTACTGTTCCTTAAGAAAATATACTAGACACGGACCAGTGGACCAGTGTTAGTGTCGAGCAATAAGATAACTTGACATGTAAGGAGTGCCTCAGTTGACTGCCACTAACAAACATCAGAAACAAACTCACAATACATCTTCTGCCACATTGCAATATATATGTGTGTTTATTTCCCCACACAGGCTTTTTATCTTGTGACTGATTTGGCTTAACGAATTATGTCCAACACACTCAATGACTGTGACATGTAAAGATGTTTTTTAGATTATATAATTGTACTTCAGGATGTTCATCTGGCAAAACGCTTCTATGACCTGGCAGCAGAGACGAGCATGGACGCCCAGGTACCAGTAACCCTGGCACTTGTCAAACTTGGACTCTTCTACGGCTTTGATGTCTTCAACAAAGAGGTGAGGTTAACTTGTGGCCACATCATGGGGGGAGAAGGGAGCCTTTAGCCTCGACTCTTGTTACTGTCTTTTGCAATGACAGTTGACCTTGAATAGTCTGGAGTACCTACCTGCACTTCAAATATGAAAATGTCTTTTCTTATCAGTAACATTTTAATATGGGTTAAAGGCCATTTAGAAATTAGAATAGGGCTATTTGTTGTGTAATTTAACTTGCAGGGTTGAGAGTAGGAACAATGTTTCTTTCATCGTGTACTTTTGACGTGTGAATAAAAGAATTGATAAATGTCTTGCAGTCATTACAGATGATGTGTCACTCACACTAGACTAAACACACTTTGTGATAGTGAAAAATATTAATGAGCATGATTAGTGTGGAGAAAAAGACTCATTGAAAAAACTGCATATCTGATTTTGCACCTTTAAAGTTACGGATTTGATCTATACCTGATTATTGACTCTAAAGTTACGCTAATTCCACAGTGAGTTTGTGACAGGATGGTATCATTTTCTTCAAAAGGTTTATGAACATGAAACCTTGTTACAATTGATGTATTGTTCAGGCTGAAATTGAAGCATTGTTCTGGCTGAAATTGAAGTATAGTTCTGGCTGAAATTGAAGTGTTGTTCAGCCGAAATTGAAGTATTGTTAGGCTGAAATTGAAGTATTGTTCAGGCTGAAATTGATATATTGTTCAGGCTGAAATTGTGGTATTGTTAGGTGGAAATTGATGTACTGTTCAGGCTGAAATTGATGTATTGTTAGGTGGAAATTGATGTACTGTTCAGGCTGAAATTGATGTACTGTTCAGGCTGATATTGATGTATTGTTCAGGCTGAAATTGATGTACTGTTCAGGTGGAAATTGATGTACTGTTCAGGCTGAAATTGATGTTTAGTAAACATGGGCACATTTGAACGAAATCACTTATCCAGGGTGACACCACATATTGGAGACACTGATGTTTCAGGTGGATGACCGTAAATGCCTCTGGAGGATATTATATTTGTCAGGTTGTTACTGTGAGATGCTGGTGTTTCAGATTGAGTATTACCAAGGTATATTCGCCCGCCTGGACCCGCGGTTGTACCTGGGGCCTGATTGGGATCTCTACATCATCACGCTTCTGTCTCTGGTTCTTGGACTTCTTATTTTACTACGGCGCGCCAGGTAACACAGCGAAGGGGCAACTCGTTGACACGGATATCTGTAAATTTACATTTTTGTACATTGTAAATAAATGTAAATACTGCCATAGTAATTAATTAAAGATTTTATTGTTTTACAAGATTTGCTCTGTCAAGCGAGATTATTTTATTTATTCCTGATCACACATCTTGCTTTTTTAGTTCTTAAGTATTACCTTATATAATTATGCAGAAAAAACACAATTTTTTTTTTTTTTTTTCCTGGATATTTAATGCATTAACTATTGTTAACTATTGTCAATGAACGGAACATTTATGCTGTAATGCATCAATCCTTTGATAATCCGGGGTGTAGGGGAGAGGGAACTGGGTGGCCAAGATTTTGTATTGAAATTAGATATTTTTTCAGCTACAGCTACAAAGCCCGATATTTTTTTATGTTGAAACAATGTCATTTTCTAAAGGCATTTCTTTTTTCAACAGTCTGAAGAATAATTATTTTTTTGAGGAATTTTGGGGGCACAATTTATTTTGTTTGATAAAATCACAGCCCCCACCTCCCCACACACAGACAAAATATCAAATGGTCTGTCCCTAAGTAACTGTGAGAAATAAATTAAAGTATGACATTCCTAGTAATTAAAAGAGAAAAGCGCAGATCGCTTTATTGTTTATGTATTTGGCAGCTGATCATGCTGGTAACTTCTCGTGTTGGGTTCGTACTCAGTCTTGATTGTGGTGATGAGTTGTAGATTGGGAATACTGTAAATCTTGAAATTAACGCGAGCGTGAATTAAATGCGAAAAATGCGAGTGGTCTTTGCTCGCATTATTAAACAACGCATTTATATCAACAATAAGATATTTTGGACAGCAGAAATACCAACTCAGACATATGCTGAAAACAAACAACTATGTATTCCACATCACACCTGCAAGTCCAGACAGACGCCACCAACGCAACACGGTGTCTTTGTTCTTTGCGACTGCGTCAAAGGCCGACACGAGCCAGCGTGCATGTATTGTTTTAGCGGAAGTATTCTAATCAGTGCTAATGAGCGGTGCTATTTGGTGTGTGATTGGATTAATGTAAGGTTGGATGAGGATGAGGATTCTCCTGTAAACCTGACAGAGGACATTTTCTTTAGATATAAATCCACTGATGCTTGAGAGGAGGGGGCTGTCGCATTCATATTGAGTTGCATTATTGACTAGGGGCCAGCAGTCGCATTCTTTTAGAGACGCATTAATTTCACGATTTACAGTGTTCAATCGCAGCAGTTGTCGACCTAGTGTGAAGTAAAGTCCTCTGATCATCCCTTGCCTTTCCTTTTGATGGGATTATATTTATTTTATTTAATTATTGCAGTTTGTATTGTATGTTTCCTTTATCTGGGTGTACAAACTAGAACACATGTTGAGGAATAAGATTGATATGTGATGATAAATATTGATTTAATGGCGTTTTGTCATTATGATACGAAAATGATGAAGTTGAGTGAACATAGTGTAATTGGGATGGAAAAAACGCTGTTATTTGCACTGGTATTTGGACAGGTGTCCTTTCTGTGTATGTGTTCATCCTGTTAAAAGTTTTTTATTTTTTTTTTGCCTTTAAGCTGAAAAGCATGTTTCCATGAAGGTGTACTGTGTAATTGATCCTGTGTATTGTCACACAATTGTATGTGTATATGTTGAATGAATTGTAGACATGAGTTGTTAAGGATAGCTGAATGTTTCATGGTTTTCAGAATTCATTTATCGTCAACACTACTTAGGTTTTGTGTACACTACACTCATCCCCAATACATACGTCCAATTACCGGTGTAGTGTCTAATAAGGGAGAACCCTCCACCAACCCACAAACCCTGAAAATCAAATGGTTTCTCCCTAACCAACTAATCAAGACACGACTTTGTTCAAGTGAGTGGGAGGGCGGTCGGGTAGCCTTGATGTTAAAGCGTTTGCTCGTCAGGCTGAAGACCCTGGTTTGATTCCTGACTTGGGTACAATATGTGAAGCCCATTTGCTGTGTCCCCTGCCTTGATATTCCTGGAATATTGCTAAAAGTGGCATAAAACCATACTCACTCAGTGCATAGCCAAACGTGAGATTGGCATCATAGCCTTTCAGTCATCTTCAGTAGCATGCTCATTCACTCAAATGAGTCGGAAACAACCGAGTTGCATAGCCCAACGTGAGATTGGCATCGTAGCCTTTCAGTCATCTTCAATAGCATGCTCATTCACTCAAATGAGTCGGAAACAACCGAGTTGCATAGCCCAACGTGAGATTGGCATCATAGCCTTTCAGTCATCTTCAATAGCATGCTCATTCACTCAAATGAGTCGGAAACAACCGGGTTGCATAGCCCAACGTGAGATCGGTATCGTAGCCTTTGTCATCTTCAATAGTATGCTCATTCACTCAAATGAGTCGGAAACAACCGGGTTGCATAGCCCAACGTGAGATTGGCATCGTAGCCTTTCAGTCGTCTTCAATAGCATGCAATGGTAGGATTCCGAAAAAGCATGCATTATAAACGGCCTCATTCCATTATGTGACTAAAAGTAGACCCTTCACTATTACACCGCAGAGTGGCCGTATGTATTCACAGGTGAAGGAAGAACATAGTTTACTTGTATACAAGCCCATGCGGTATTGACATACAGAGATGTAACTTTTTGCCTTGCTTGCTTTTGTTTCACTCTTCATCATTTTCACCTATTGTAACTACGACTTGATCGTTTAATCAGTTTCAAGTCTGTCATAATGGAGTTTTGTCTGTGAGGATGTATGGATTAACATGGAAAACTTACAGATGTACCCTCACTGTATGGAAGTTGTGTGTGTGTATGATATAAAAATGAAACAGAATGTTTATTTGGAATGACGTGTCTTGTCTTTTGTTGCAATGACGGATTGGATTTGGTATTGAAGAACTGGGTTTGCGAAGCACACATCACCTAAATGTACTGTATATTGATCATGTTGATGTGAACCACACGTACATCTTGGGACTGAAAAGAGTATTAATCCTGATGCCAGTTTATGTCAAAATAATTGGCGACGTATTGGGCATGGATGGTATGCTCAAAGTGCATGATAGTATTTCGGGGTCGAACAATTCTGTTTGTATTCCATATACATTCTCAGCTCCTTGGGAATCAGACAACCCAAGCTGTGCCTACCTGGCAATCATTGGCTGCTGGGGGAACAGAGCCATTTTTCAAAGGAAAGTCACTTGCAGAGAAAGACTAACATGTTTTAGTCGGACCTGACTAGTATCCAAGGATCTCTCAGGAGTCCAGCTTGTGTGTCAAGCTATGCCAGCACTGCATATCCTTGACTGATTTGTGACCTGTGGTGTAGCCCAGTGGTTAAAGTGTTTTCTCGCCATTCCAACTATTAGACTTGATGCCCTCATTGGTACAATTGTGGACCGCCTCCGTGGTCTAGTGGTAGAGCGTCCGCCCGGAAAGCGGAAGATCAGGGGTTCGATCCCCGACCGCGTCATACCAAACGACGTTAAAAGATGGTACTTGTTATCCTGTCTGGCGCTCGGCATTAAGGGGCTAATACAAGGACTGGTCGGCTCGGAGTCCGTATACTGTGTCTGAGTGGGGTATTCATGTTAAACTGCCGCATGGTTTCTCAGTGAGCGAGCACTATAAATCGGGATCAGTGCGGACTAGTACAAGCAGCCACACAAACACACACACGTACATGCACGTCGCTATATAAGTGCAATAATCTTGGACGCGACCTTAAACCAAATTTCACCTTACCTCACCTCACCTCAGGAGTCTAGCTTGTGTGTCAAGCTATGCCAGCATTGATGCCCTCATTGGTACAATGGTGAACCCTGATCTTTGATTCCCCCATGTTATGGCAGGAAAATGTTAAACTCCTTCAAACTCCTTCAAATGTTACAGGAGCCTTTTGTATGCGGGGATCATATGCTACTCAAAGTTTGCTTAAGATATAGAAATCATCCAACAAATATAGATTGAAATATCCCGGTACCCAATGATTGGGGCCGCGATTCGCTGTGCAGAGTTGCGTCCCTTGAGCACGCCAGAAACCTATGAATGTGGGTTCGAATCCCGGTTCGTCCCGATTATGTTTCTAGGTTTGTCAGCACAATACCCGTGCTCGTGGGTTTCACCGAAGTGGTAAACGTCTGAGACCCGCATCACTTCGGGCTTTCCTCCCACATGACACGCCGCGATATAACTGGAATACTGTTAAAAGCCGCGTTAAACCTAACTCACTCACCCACTCAATGATTGGGTTACTCCTATAGGACCTCAGTTTCATGATGAATGGACAGGCATGCAGTCATGGATATGAGGTGCTTGAAAACATGTGCTTTGATGTATCGTGACAGAATCATTGCACATTATCAAAGAGCTCAACAACATTCTACTAAGGATTGCAACAACTGAATGCACTTAAGCCCCCAAGACATTGTTTGACGATTGAAGAATTAAGCAGATGCATAGGCATGCTAGAAGCTTGGTCAATACAACCTTACGTTGCAAACGTCCTTTGTGTGATCGGCAGGGCATGGAATCGATACCGGACGTTTGGATCACCTACCCAGCGATATGCAGGTGAACAGCGTCCCACCACACAGATTTGATCAGATTCTCTTATTTTGACAGCTTGATCTGACTGATTGTTGGTCACGTGTTGTTTCTTCGCATTGTGTGGCACATGACAACAGACTTTTGTTTATTAATCATGTCTTCACCAATACTGTCTTTGGCTAGTTTAACAGATGCACACAGTTTTTGACATATTACCTATTATAGTGAGTGAGTGGGTATGGTTTTACACCGCTTTGAGCAATATTTGCGCAATATCATGGTGTGGGACACGAGAAATGGTCCTCACACATTGTACACATGCTGGGAATCGAACCAAGGGCTTCGGCGCTTCAATCACTAGGCTACCTGATTGCCCCTGTTGCCAATTATAAGTGGTGATCCTTAGCAAACTTTGAGTAGTGTATATGCAGACAAACCGACATACAATTGTATCTGCAAGGCTAGCCGAGACTGAACATGTAGGTGCACCTTTGTAATCCGTGTTATCCTCTCATTTGGTATGACCACAGGTTCAAATCCCGACATGGGTACAATGTGTGAAGTCCATTTCTGGCGTCCCTAGCGGTGACATTGCTGGAATATTGCTAAAAGCCGCGTAAAACCATACTCACTCATTTGGTATGTCATGTACTGTATTTATAGAAAAGAGTAAGACATGAAATTTTGTATACCTTGTGTTGCCTTCACAGAAAACAAATTACAGTAAACTATGGTTATAACGAACTCAAAGGGACCACTAATTTTAGTTCGTAATAGCCGTAGTTCGTTATAAGCATATATACAGCATATACACAACAAATGGCCGGGACTAAAAACTAAGTTCGTTATATCGATCAGTTCGTTATAAGCGTGTTCGTTATAAACGTAGTTTACTGTATATTCTTAAGATCATCGTCTTTAAACCAATCTCACTGAAAACAGATCTTAGTGCTCACGACTAACTCACCGCCCCTTCAAGGAAGACATCGGCCTCAATCCCCATGTACTGAGGCCCAGTCAAACATTATCTTAAAGGCCGATAAACAACATGACACAATTAGTTCTTATAACGTATTTAATTCACACAAAATAATCAATAAACAAAACAAGGTTTTTATGCTTCATTGGAGACAAAGGCAAGCATTGACCTCACAAAACAATATCACTGATGCACGAAGAAACATTTAGTTACACTTCACTCGTCAGCAAGCGTGGCGAAATAAATCAGTTAATAACATTCGTTTCCTTTAAACGGTGGAATGTCGATAATTTGAATCAAGGCGTTTGTGCCCAGGTGGGATATTTCTGTAATTGTGGGTATCGGGTATAAAGCGTTTCTCATCTTAGAAAAACGAACCTTTGTTAGAGAAATGGTTAAGTCCGAACTCGCGATCTTATTAACCAGCATTACAAACCTCACTCGCTATTCACACGCGGAACTCATTAATTGAGAAAATCCCTGAAGTCGTCAGTCTAGAGAAATTTCAATGAGTAATTAGGAGAAACTTATATCATTATTAATATATCTATTATCATCCTATGTTGGCCTCGTTCTACTAAGCACTCGGCAAAATAGCTACGACCATGTTTAAAACGTTTTAGCTCAGACTTTCTTAGCATGGTCTTTGTAGTCGGTTTGTCTCCCAGACCCTACAAGATATATTTAAAAAGGAGTCCAACTCAAGTCTAGAATGATTTGGCAAGTCTAGATTACATTAGATCAAGGAACTAAGGATTGTTCTAGGCTCCATATGAATTTGATTTTGTATTTTGTGGATAAATATTTTTGATTCAGATAAAATTATTTCTGGGAGTAAATGTTAGCCTTCTGATCAATCGAAAACTTGGCTCATATGCTTTAAGTAAGTTTTATTCTGGACAGAATTTTTAGCCATTCTCCAACACATAGATATGTTATATATGTCTGACAGAAACGACTCGTGTCAATGGGCGGCATAAAGATACATGTTTCAAGGGCACAGCTATCTCAAATGTGAGGAAAGCGCTGAGGCATTTTTTCCTTTCTATTTTATTTAAAACATAAGTGACGAGACTGTTTGTTTTCTCCACCAAGAAAACCAACAAACAACTAGACAGATTGAACGCGGTCCTTTTATAACAATGTCAGGTATACAAAAAATAAACGATGCGCAGTATTTAAATTGACGAGCCGATGCACGAGACATTTTCCGCTTTTTAGCCATACTAGTGTTCTGAAACCACACCATAGCGTTATGATTGAGTTTATAGGTACGCGTGAATATGGCGTAAATATGATGTAGATGTGACTTAAATATGACGTAAATATGATTACCGGTTACCATATAGCACCCTATCAAGCCTGTTCACAAATGCTGAATAGGATATATGAACTACGAAGGGGATCTAAAGATAAGTCCACTCCATATATGTTTGCATATCAGACACAGAAACGACATTTCGAATTTGCTCCATGGTACGATCGAATTTACTAAAGTTATCATGAATACTACAATTTGTAAATGGAAAAAATAGCTGATGCACTCGCACAGTTTCTGTAACGTTAATATTTCTAACGTTCATATCCAGCTGGCTTCCATTTGTCTACTTGTCCATTGCCATTTCCATTGCTATTGTCTATCAGTGCTAATTACACCTGCCTCCCGTGTGCCCATTGCCTATTCCATTGCTATCATCTATCAGTGCTAATTACGCCTGCCTCCCGTGTGCCCATTGCCTATTCCATTGCTATTGTCTGTCAGTGCTAATTACGCCTGCCTCCCGTTTGTCCATTGCCTATTCCATTGCCTATCATCTATCAGTGCTAATTACGCCTGCCTCCCGTGTGTCCATTGCCTATTCCATTGCTATTGTCTGTCAGTGCTAATTACGCCTGCCTCCCGTGTGCCCATTGCCTATTCCATTGCTATCATCTATCAGTGCTAATTACGCCTGCCTCCCGTGTGCCCATTGCCTATTCCATTGCTATCATCTATCAGTGCTAATTACGCCTGCCTCCCGTTTGTCCATTGCCTATTCCATTGCTATCATCTATCAGTGCTAATTACGCCTGCCTCCCGTGTGCCCATTGCCTATTCCATTGCTATTGTCTGTCAGTGCTAATTACGCCTGCCTCCCGTTTGTCCATTGTCTATTCCATTGCTATCATCTATCAGTGCTAATTACGCCTGCCTCCCGTGTGTCCATTGCCTATTCCATTGCTATCATCTATCAGTGCTAATTACGCCTGCCTCCCGTGCGCCCATTGCCTATTCCATTGCTATCATCTATCAGTGCTAATTACGCCTGCCTCCCGTGTGCCCATTGCCTATTCCATTGCTATCATCTATCAGTGCTAATTACGCCTGCCTCCCGTTTGTCCATTGCCTATTACCTAGGCCTAGTCCTAGCTTCCAGTTGTCTATCGCTATCCATTATCAGCGCAAATTAACTGTTAAGTGTTGGCTTCCATTTGTCACTTCCATTTATTCCCCTGGGGAAGCAGTAGGTATATACTTCGAAACGTAGTGTTCCTTGTAAAAATGAAGTTGACATCCATAAATTATTTTACCTAATGTTTCCTATATTTGAAAAATATAATAATTTTGTGTGAAATTAACGGAAGTTAATAGAACGTTACAGAAAACACATTCAGTATCAGTGGATAAGCTATTTTCGTTTGTTTTGTTTGTTTGTTGTTAAACGCCGCAATATTCCAGCTACGTGACGGCTGTCTGTAAATAATCGACATCATGAGCATCGATCCACATAGTTGGGATACGGTGACATGCATCAACCAAGACAGCGAGCCTGACCATCCGATCCCGTTAGTCGCCTCTGGTACCCATGAATGCTCAAAACATTTAAATCTGCATCCCAGGATTTCACAAAATCATCTGTGCCCTGATCTCAAGATGGGTAGTAACATTAGGTGATATGCCATCATTGTTTCACCTTCAGTTGGTACTTTGAACATAAATAATAGTCGTACCTTGCCTGCAGCTGATGCATATTCTTCATATTATTTCCTTTTTCTAATTATCAATTTCTAATAATAAAATCCAAACTTTTAATCCGGTTTGTCCTCATATTTTCCAAGTCAAGGCAAAATAATTTCTATTGATGCCAAATCTCGAAGCTCCGTTCGTTTGAAAGCTTGAACCTCCGTTTATGTCAAAGTTCGAAAATCCTTTTGTTTCAAAGCTAGACACTCCGTTTATGTCAAAACTCGAAACTAGAATATGTCGAATCTCGAAATCCGACATGCTTGAAAAAAATGGCAATTATGGAATGTCCGATTATGTCAAAGTGTCGATGAAGGATAAATATATAATTTTGAATTACACAGTTAAGAAAAATAGTTCATGTATTTACTGATGAATATTCAAGGAAAACCCCTCTTTCCATTTTCTATGAGTAGAACTTTAAAGTTAAGAGTGCGCCCATGACATATATAGGATTTATTGTCGACATGAGCTATACCGCTAAATATAAATCGTGGTTTTTGAAATGTTGTGTGTATAACATTGATGACAATATAAATCTTATTATTCATATTACACACATCTACACCCCGCATTTCTTGTATAATTCTGTGAAACCAAAAAACAAAAACCCAAACAGGTTCATGCTGATAGTGACAGTATGCGGCATTGATCTTACAAGAATAAGCAGCATCACCGAGCCTTATTGCCCATACGTGTATGTATATCTGCACTTACAGGATCATACTAATTTCTAATTTCTATGATGAGCGTGTGAACTGTACAATATCAATGCGATCAATATGTCAGCTAATATGTCAACAATATGTGAAAATAGAATTTCTCACCGGGCAAGGACGTAATGATACTCCTACAGAAGCACAAACAACAAAACATAATATACATAATCAACAACTTATATAAATTTGGAATGGTATACATCATGGTACATATTTATCAATCATTGAATGTGTTTAGAATTATGATCTTGTATTTTAATAGCTGCAAATAATACAGTCATCATCATCATCATCATCATCATCATCATCATCATCAGCATCTTTTGCTCGTCAGTTGTTGAGGTGGAGACATCGTGACGTATATTTGCTCTAGGTTGTTCTCTGACAACATATCATGACGTATCAATTAGGTGTACCACATCTACTGTCCGTATACAATGCAAAACATCTACGCCAGTAAAATAAACAAAACAAAACTCACTCCGTATACAAGCCCTCTCGAGTTAAATAAAAAATCTAAAAGTGTTTTTGTCAGAGATGTTAAAAATGTCGTTTGTTTAATATTTTACCCGCAGTCAGCATTGTTTCAGCTATATCACGGCGCCCTGTAAACTATTGAGTGAGTGAGTGAGTGAGTGAGTGAGTGAGTTGGGTTTAGCGCCGCTTTTAACAGTATTCCAGTTATATCACGGCGTGTCAGCTTAATGTGGGAGGAAAGCCCGAAGTGATGCAGGTCTCAGACATTTACACTTCGATGAAACCCGCGAGCACGGGCATGGTGCTAACAAACCTAGAAACATAATCGGGGCGAACCGGGATTCGAACCACAATCACAGGTTCCTGGCGTGCCCAAGGGACGCAACTCTGCACAACGAATCGCGGCGCCTTAGACGACTTGGCCACTCGTGCCCCCTGTAAACTATTGAGTGAACGACAGACAAGCCAGTGGTTTGTACTTTGAGCAACGTCCCACGTCATCACGGAATCTGATGACACGCAATCAACACAATCTCATCGCCTGACCACGTGATCTAATTAGGCCGCCCCATACATCAAAGCAATTGCAGGGGACCTTTTCTAACTCGGGTCCCCAAGAGATAATCAATCTTGTACAAGAGATGCCATCTGAAAAATAACATGGCTTGAGCAAACCACATTTCCTGAAAAGACTTCGAGTTCATTAAAAAGAAAAGCTTTCCATCTTATTCATACCTCAATAAAATATAGCCGCCGTTTTAAACCAGTGTTCTTTTGTTACAGTGCAATCTTTGTGAATTTGAAACGCTTCATTCGCAATATCATTAAAATCAGATCTTAGTTCTCTACCTAACATACCTCTGGGATATATTCTTAAAGATTTCCACAAACTCACAATGATTATAATAAATTTGTAATATTTATTTCCGTGTTACTTTCATGCTCCTCTATATCAGTACTGATGATGATAAGAACGGCCCAGTTAGTTGATTATAAAACATTGTAGGTTTTATCGTCATCGATCCATAAGTTTAACAAATGTTATATTACTCAGTATAATATATGAAAAACATGCAGTTTGTAGATGTATATGTAGAGAGAGTATATGTGGATACATACTAAGATATAGCTATTAACGGTATCATGTACCATTTGTCATACTCTCTGCAAAAGGAATTTAACACTATCAGTGCATGCTTTTGTCTTTTGAAGAACTTTAATATTGATTGTCATACCCAAGAATTGACGAGGGGTTAAATGAGATGAGATACGAACCTTAAATGTCATTTCGAGTTGGCAGTTCATAAAAACTAAAAATGTAGTCATTTCAACTTCCGTATTCCTGACATTGTGACACATTTTCTTAGCCTCTTCATCCGGTGAATTCGCCCTATCACTAAACGGTTGTAGAATATAGAAGTTGAAATCCAAATAGCTTGTGTCTCTAAGAGTGAGTGAGTAGGGTTTTACGACGCATCCAGCAATATCACGGCGGGGACAGCAGAAATGGGTCTCACATTGTATTCATGGAATCAAACCCGGGCCCTAGGTGAGACGAGCGAACGCTTGAACGACAAATCGTACATAAAATAATTTGATTTAAATGTAAGCCTTAATCATCATGAAAAGTGCTATTTGAGCATTTGTTCTGTTATATTTACATCAATAACAATTTGACAATGTTATAAATCAAGAATAAACAAAGCGAATTGCAACAAAATCAAATAATATACAACAATGTAATTTTGATTCTGCAAGCGGTTATGATCAAGACTCCCAAGAAAATATAAACACAACGCATCCGGTGTAAACTCTTGGTGATCCCACTGTAAAATCTGAGGGATCCTGTTAAGAACTAGTTTTTAGGATCCAATTATCGTAGCGTAAGCTCGTTTAAAATTGTATCTCAATACACCAATTCATACATTCTGATATGGAATAGAGATGTTATCCAGAAGAAAAGTCCCTTGTATGTTCCGACATGGAAATCACAGTATGGCACAGCTATCCTTTAGAACTTGGCATGAACTGATCCTTGGAATATATTCAAAACAAAAGCCTCCCACAATGAAATTACAAGGCAACAGAAAACAGCACCAGCGTGTAGTCGGAAAACATCGGACATTTCCGATATCCAAGGTGTATCTTGGAATTCAACGAACTTTGCCGAGTTTGATACATCCTTCCGGACGGAATGGCGGATATATGCCCGTGACCTTATAACCGGACACAGTTTCCATTGGATGTTTTGCCGTTGAGAATATAATGTGAGTGTTTGGCCCCTTCACAGGAGTGACCGTTCAAGGGCCTCAAGGTCATTTGGTGTTCCTCCCTTATGGCGTTGATCTGATCACGTGATGTAGCGAGTTCTACGTCCGAATCTATAGAATCGGAACATGTATCGACATGCGCGTTAAGAAACTCATTAGATCGATATGTCTTTGAACTTCCAGACGCTATAAGACACGTGTCCGACTGAACGTTATCAGTATCCGAATCGGTGGTCTTTTTAGAAACAAGTTCTTTTTTGTCTGAAATTTTCTGACTCTTTTCAGCGTCTTTCCTCTGAACTGGCTCTTTTTTCAAACACTTCAGCATTATATTATAACCAGCTTTATTGTCTTTAGAATACGCCGCCCACGACCGACCAAATCCCGTGGACTTCTTGCCAGATTTATCGAGACTTGGCTTTGTTTCCTTGCTCCTCCTACTCGAAGCGGAACCGCGGCCATGTTGGCTCGCGCCACCACTGCTACTTCCGCCGGAAGAAGCTGCTTCGCTGATATGGCAATCATGCATGTCTCGAACATCGGTCATGCTCTGTCGTGTGGTCTGAGCATAGCTGTGAGAGGCCGTTGCGTTCATGCTGTCCTGGTAACGGAAGATGTGCTTGGAGACACAGCAACAGAGGAACGTGCCGATGATCTGCTTGAAACTCCGCCGGAACTTTTTGCTCATTATGCTGTAGATGAAGGGGTTGATGCAGCTGTTGAGGAAGCCACAAAGATGGGTCATAAGCATCGTAAAGAGGAAGTTGCTTTTGTGGAGGAAGCTGCTGCCGTTGTTGTAGGAGGCCTGGATCTGGCTTACGATGCTGACCCAGTACTGAGGCGACCATGCAACGATGAAGGCAATTGCTATCACAATGACCATCCGGGCAACCTGAAACAATAGGAAACATGAATATATATGAATGTTATATTGTTGTTTATCACCGTAGTCGGTTATAATTCAGCTATATGACGGCGGTCTGTAATTAATCGAGTCTGGATCAAACAATACAGTTTGTTATTGTGAATGAACAACGATCCAACGCTACGGTAAGAGTGAGTGAGTGAGTTAGGTTTAACGCCGCTTTTAACAGTATTCCAGTTATATCGCGGCGTGTCAGCTTAATGTGGGAGGAAAGCCCGAAGTGATGCAGGTCTTAGACGTTTACCACTTCGGTGAAACCCACGAGCACGGGTATGGTGCTGACAAACCTAGAAACATAATCGGGGCGAACCGGGATTCGAACCTACAATCATAGGTTTCTGGCGTGTCCAAGGGACGCAACTCTGCACAGCGAATCGCGGCGCTTTAGACGACTGGGCCACCCGTGCCCCCGCTACGGTAAGAAGCAGTTAAACCAGCCTGACCGCTCGATCCATAAAGTCTCCTCTCATGACCTGCATAACCTGCGGAACATTTTGAATCCGGAAACCACACCAGTTTGTTTGTTTGTTGTTTAACGTCACACTCTGGAATATTCCAGCTATATGACAGCGGTCTGTAAATAATCGAGTCCGGACCAGACAATCCAGTGATCAACATCCTGAGCATCGATCTACACAATTGGAATTACTATGACATGCATCCACTAAGTCAGCGAGCCGGGCCACCCGATCCCGGTAGTCACCTCTTACGGCAAGCATGGGTTGCTGAAGACTAATTCTAACCCGGATCTTCCACGGGTTTACAGTGTGCACATTCACATATAGACCTATATGGGTTTCTTTAAATTACATTTAGTCGTAGCAATACCTCATCCTACAATGCGCCAAACATTACATGCACGCGAAAGGCAACGCCGTGGTCAATATTTTACAGCGATCCACATCATCAGGGCTCAATGTCCCACCAAATTAGTCAGTTCAAAGAGGAAAGCAGCCCCAAGTAGAATGTATATACAAAATCCATTGACATAAAAGTGTTGAAGACACAGTTCCTGTATATGGCGGACCTATGTTAAAAGTGCGTCCGGACATGTACCACGTAAGTCCTTTGTCGGCGTGTGACTTTTTCTGAAGTAAAATCTGCAGCTACAAGTTGTCCACAACAACAAGGAGTGAGTGAATGAGTGAGTGAGTATGGTTTTACGCCGCTTTTAGTAATATTCCAGCAATATCACGGCGGGGGACACCAGAAATGGGCTTCACACATTGTACCCATGTCGGAAATCGAACCCGGGTCTTCGGAGTGACGAGCGAACGCTTTAACCACTAGGCTACCCGACCGCCCCACAACAAGGACCTACAGACGGAGGGACCATGTCTGTCATCAGTCTTGGGCGATGAGTGATAATAAGTGGACGGGGAAACTGTTTTTTTTTTGTTTTTTTATTTATTTTTTTAGTGTTCTCAGAGTTGTAGAGTAATGCAGTATTCAATCGAGACATATTTCGGATTGCAACAGAATGACACAATACATTCTTTATTATTTAAAGACCGCCTCCATGGTCTAGTGGTAGAGCGTCCGCCCGGAGAGCGGAAGGTCCGGGGTTCGATCCCCGGCCGCGTCATAAAAAAAGACGTTAAAAGATGGTACTTGTTGTTACCCTGTCTGGCGCTCGGCATTAAGGGCTAAAACAAGGACTGGTCGGCTCGGAGTCAGTATACTGTGTCTGAGTGGGGTATTCATGTTAAACTGCGGCATGGTATCTCAGTGAGCTAGCACTATAAATCGGCATCAGTCCGGACTAGTACAAGCAGCCACACAAACACACACACGTACATGCACGTCGCTATATAAGTGCAATAATCTTGGACGCGACGTTAAACCCCATTTCACCTCACCTCACCTTTTTAATTTAAAGGTTTTGAAACAAACAGTGTCACGTTTCAAACTAAAATGTTGCAACACACAACTTAAATCAAACATAGCATGTATCAACAGAGAATCAAATGCTGAGAATAAATGTCACCATAATTTGTTAAATTTATTTTCGGCATCCCTTTTTAAAAACTATAAATGTCTTGATTGAATATGTTGTTAAGTAGTTTTAAAAGTATATCTATTTTCGGTTTGATCCCTTTCATTCCTGAACACGAACATGCCCTTTCCCCAATAAAATATACGATTGATTAAAGTATTACAGTAAATCAAACCAAATAAGACATTTTGTCAATTTATTTTGTTGTGAAAGATAGTTATTAAGCTAAAGTTCTAGATCATTCCAAAACGGGGAAACTGTTTCTGCTTTAGAATAACTAGCTGATAAATGGACGTGAGAAAGCAGACACACACTTGAAGCAAACTTTTATGCCCGTCAAATGGCCTAATCCTCAGTCCTTTTTTGATCTTTAGAATCAAAGAAGATCCAGGATGGAATCTGTCGAAAAATGAAAATTGAACACAAGCGCCCATAAAATATCTCTTTGCGTCATACCAGAGGGATGGCATACTTCTTGGAAGTGAAACACACCGAAATAAAACAACAAAATATTATAGATTTTCTGAATAAACCCTCACCAGTTTCACATTTAAACTTAAATAAATCCGTTCAGTTCATTTAATTAGTCAGATATAACTTCAATTCTTGATAGATAACTAAAACCCGGAGGGATGGGACCAGGATAAAAGACAAAAAAGAAAAATACACTGCCAAAATTGAAAAATGTAAGAAATAATTGTTTAAAACATAAAGAAGTCCATAAAAAAAACATAAAAAATTCCAGAAAACCTACCTTTCCTGACATGTTACAGACTGTATGTTCAAAATGAAAAAACATATTATTATCCCTCTTCGATGCAAATATGCAGATGATGAAATATCTGTCTCAAAGGCTGCGATCAATTAAACTATCGTGTCTTAGTCTGGGGATAACTGCTTCTTGGGCAAGTATACCATAGCTGAGAATTTGAGCAAATTAAGCCACACCATCGGGACTTAACGTCGAACTAATCACCTTCGTCACGAGAAGTTAGTCGGATCAGCTATGCACCCATACGTTATATACACTCGGGGCAAAAGAGGAAGTAAGAGGGCAGTCCAGTGTTTAAAGTGATCACGCCTTGTACCCGTCTTATTCCCTGTGGATACAGCCTATGAATCTCCTCCTCGATAACTTCCGCCGTGATATTGCTGCAAAATTGCTGAACGTGTCATTATACCTTATGAGCTCAGCATTCGTAAACGTTCCTTGAGACTTAAACCTAGTTGAGACTACATACACGTCCCTGCGATTAGTGAAGCTTACATTTGCAATTTATATACTACAATGTTTGATTATGTCGTCTTGAAGAGACAAAAGTGTTTTCATCCTCAAAAGTAACCTGTAAAGAAAGTAGCTATGGGAACGGTCACCATCATGACACGGACTATGATCTAAATGGTTAAACTCGCTCTGTCCTGAGTGTGGCCCTACGTTTTCAGGGTCAGCCACTTTGTATGTTCGAGGGGCAGATGTAGCTCATTATGTCCATGTAATTAGTATAATCAGACCCGTGAAGATTCCGGGGTAGAATAGGTCTTCAGCAACCCATGCTTGCCGTAAAAGGTGACTATGCTTGTCGTAAAAGGCGACTAACGGGATCGGGTGGTCAGGCTCGCTGACTTGGTTGATGCATGTCATGGATCCCAATTGCCCGGATCGATGCTCATGATATTAATCACTGGATTGTCTGGTCCAGACTCGATTATTTACAGACCGCCGTCAAAAAGCTGCGGCGTTAAACAACAAACCAAACTAGTGTAATCATAAGCCGTGAAATTAATGTACAATTTGAAGTAGCAGACAGGTGAGGCTGTGTTTAAGCGATCTGAATCAAACATGATGGGTCTTGCATTTTCCCAGAGCTTAAGACTCCTTTAGGTGCCAAAGACGAACCTCGTCTCAAAAGGATCTAGCCAGACAGTGATATTAGAAGCTGGTAAATGTGGTTTCAAACTCATACCTATATTTTGTCCCCGTAGGTAATGATCAACCCCGTGGATAAAGAAACCACGACGTCTCTAATCTGCGACCTTATGCCTTATGATGGATGTCTCATCTGCGTCCTTATGCCTTATGATGGATGTCTAATCTGCGACCTTATGCCTTATGATGGATGTCTCATCTGCGTCCTTATGCCTTATGATGGATGTCTAATCTGCGTCCTTATGCCTTATGATGGATGTCTCATCTGCGTCCTTATGCCTTATGATGGATGTCTCATCTGCGTCCTTATGCCTTATGATGGATGTCTCATCTGCGACCTTATGCCTTATGATGGATGTCTCATCTGCGTCCTTATGCCTTATGATGGATGTCTCATCTGCGTCCTTATGCCTTATGATGGATGTCTCATCTGCGACCTTATGCCTTATGATGGATGTCTCATCTGCGACCTTATGCCTTATGATGGATGTCTCATCTGCGACCTTATGCCTTATGATGGATGTCTAATCTGCGTCCTTATGCCTTATGATGGATGTCTAATCTGCGTCCTTATGCCTTATGATGGATGTCTAATCTGCGTCCTTATGCCTTATGATGGATGTCTCACACGTCCACACTTTGGACCAAACTGACTTCAATCTGGACCCATGTCAAGATAGGTGTCTCTCATATGCAATAATTCGACCAAATCGACTATAATCATGAACAAATAAATTCCGCGTGACTCCAATCGGGGTCTGAATATGCACTATCTGGACTAAGATGTATCTTGTGTTATTTATTATTCACACGCACACCAGCACGCACATATCTGGGCCAATGCAGTACCGAATCCTGATGCGATAATATCGCCTTTGTTTGGTCGAATCACTAAGATGTATGATACTAATGTCCCTGAGTTAGCACGGCACAACATTCTATAAATAAAAACATGTCCATAATCGTTTGAAATATCTGCACTACCAAATGGGGACAATAACGAATTCAGACGAAGCGCTACAACCACATTCGTGTCCACTCGGCTTTTCCGATTTGCTACACAATGATTTCGCTGTAAACTGCATATTGAACCTTCCCTTCGCATGTTGCTCGTTCAGATAGAAACTAGGTATACATGTTGAGTTTGTGCACAATCCAGTTCCAATATTAATCCACCCCCCCCCCCCCCCACCCCCCGCCCACCCCCATGCTAGCCGAAATTGAACTGAAATCCAGTTCCAATATAGATACCTCCCGATGTTAGCAGATATAACCTGGGGATTGAGTTGATCCGAAATCCAGTTCGAATATAGATACCTCCCAATGTTAGAAGAGATAACCTTGGGATTGAGTTGATCCGAAATCCAGTTCGAATATAGATACCTCCCAATGTTAGCAGAGATAACCTGGGATTGAGTTGATCCGAAATCCAGTTTCAATGTGGATACCTCCCAATGTTAGAAGAGAGGTTTGCGTTATACCCAAGCCCAGTTTTAAAGTAGTATAGATAGTTTATGTATTCCATATAAACATTAGTCTTCGAAAATATTTTTCATTACACGTTTATATAAAATGTCATTATGTACAAAACAATTTCTCTCGTGATTCGCTTCGTGAAGATACGTCAATTCTAAAGTTATTCTGCTATTAATTTAAAATATCATTATTTTTTTCTGAGCAATCAATTGTAAGTCTTCTACTGTAGCGCACTAAGCACAACATTTAATGGGTTTACAACATTTGATTAGCTCTGAAATGACATTTTGTAATCATAAAACGTACTCAGAAAACACACATAGTAAACAATAAGTGTCCACTTTCAATAGACATGGAGATTAAAATAAATGGATTTTTTCGTTAAATTTGGTTTCAATTCAAGATCGAGCAAAAAGGAAGATCATAACTATGCCAGACAGTCAGTTTGGTCCATTGCATCTTCTTTCGGCTGGAAAGTTTACAAATGATGTAGACTTCGAAGGATGGATAGATCCCTAGTAATGGTCTGTGCATGGCAGGCTGGTCCACTAAACGTTCTTATCTTCATCAATGTGTTCTTGGGAGAAATATTCCTTTTTGCAATACGACCCCTTTAGTTTCAGATCGATGTTAGATTTTCATACTTAAAGGGGAAGTGTACACGCAAAAATCACTTTCTTTCTTTTTCTAAACAAAACGCAATTTTAGAATTAATTAGTATCTGTGTTTGAAAATATACACTAATTTTTTTTCACAGTGAAAGTAGGAAGCTCACAATAGTGTTAAAATGATATGCCGTTATGAGGCCTTCGTTTTACGAGCGAAATAGGCCTGAGTTATCCCCCTTAGATTATGACGTAATTGGTGCCAATTCAACTGGGTCCCTGTCTATTCTCAACGCAAAAGATATCAAGGACCAGTTTGCGGTAAAACAACATGGTCTACGACACACTCCGGCACATTGGTGACTCAGCATAACACAATTCTGGCTGTCATCTGAGACGCTAGAATCACAAAACTGTACCTACACCACGTGAAGCGGCTCTAACAAAGCATGATGACGTCATAATGTTTATCAATTGGCACCAATGACGTTATATTGCAAGGGGCATAAGCCATGGTGTTTTTGTTATGGAAATAGAACACTTGGTAAATGTGAAAAATATAAATCGTTTTAATGCAAAAAATATGTTAATTAAATATGATGTTTTTATATTTTTGTCTATGACACTTCTATGTTAACACTTTTAATGTGGAAAAAGTACAAGAAAAATTGGTTCATTTCCGTGTGAACTTGCCCTTTAAATTGACCTGCAACCATTATTTTAGTATCAAGTGTATCAGGGTGTATATACCATTGTGTGAATCTATAACATCAGCATCCTTTGTTTGGTGTTCTTCGCCCTTGTACATTAACCCCCAAAGTAATAATAAAAATAAATAATAATAGTCCATTTTATATGGCGCTGTACTTCATATATAAGCGTGCTCTAAGCGCTCAGACATTATTACCCCGGTCACTAGATCAATGTGCGCTCAACCATCGTTCTCAGCTCCCTGGGGAGTATACACCCGATATTACCTGTTAGGCGCTAGAAGGTAAAAAAAGCACCTAATCTCATCCTACCGGGTACCCATTCCCTGCTGGGTGAACAGAGGCACATTTCGAACAAAGTCACTTGTGCTTCAGTGTGGTGGGACCGAAGCTCCAGAAACTTCCAGGAGCCGAGCTGCCGAAACGTGGTCAACCATCCACCTACTCTCCGCGAGTGACGTTGCTTAACTTCACCTGATTTGTGACCTGTGCCACCACAATTTAATGAATCGACCGCGCCAGGTAACAGGAGCAGTAAACGAATGCATATTGTCCTGCTTATCTGCCCCTAGAAGCTCGAGCCATCCACCATCCATCAACACAACAATGCTCCCATCATAGGTGCCCAGTGTCACGTTGGGCTTCTGAAACGGACACAATAAATGTTTCTATCTGGTTTCTTCGTACCCTTTAATCGAGCCAAGTTAGAAACGACCGGAGAACGGAAGGTCCGGGGTTCGATACCCGGCCGCGTCATACCTAAAGACGTTAAAAGATGGTACTTTTTGTTACCCTGTTTGGCGCTCGGAATTAAGGGGCTAAAACAAGGACTGGTCAGCTCGGAGTCAGTATACTTTGTCTGAGTGGGGTTTTCATGTTAAACTGCGGTATGGCCTCTCAGTGAGCTAGCACTATAAATCGGCATCAGTCCAGACTAGTACAAGCAGACACACACATACACACACGTCGCTATATAAGCGCAATAATCTTGGACGCGACAAAACCCAATTTCACCTCACCTCGCCATATAAGATACGATAGACATCACCAGGTTCTAAGTTACAAATAAATAATATGTATATTAATATGTATTATTATGCAGAACTCTTGTCCGGAAATAATAACTGTGTAATATAACGCCTGGTCGGACAATCAATGAGTCCTTCCGAGGTCAACGGTGATAAGCTGCAATTATTCTCAATGATTCCTTCACACATAACTACTCTGACAATCATAATGATCATCTTCAGTTTTGATGCGTGAAATTATCGGAACTAGCTGTCATTTATCTGCACTCTAGACGTAAGTGTTGTCTGTTATTCTCATCTTATGATAATGGCCACTGTAACGTCTGTGGGGATACCAGACAGGTTGTCATTACCAGCTTTTCTTTTACCTTCAGATGAAAAGTATTGTCAACATATAATGGCTTTTAGCTAATCAGTACCTTCCGTTTATTCTCTTCATGCCTGCGCCGTGCGTCCTTCCGGCCCAGCTGCGGAGAACGTTTGATGCAGATTGGCTGGAGCAGGCATATGGCGATCATGATGCATGTGACCAGAATCGTTATCATGGGGATGAGGTAAATAGAAAGAAAGAGGAAGATGAAGAAGCCCTGCCGGAACCTGCCCGTCCCCCACGCTTCCTCTCCGTACATAGCGACGTCTATGTCGTCGAAGCGGTCAACGCATATCTGTCTGGAAATTTGACCAAGACGGCTTCCAATGGCGAAGGCGTAGCTTCGACAATAGAGATACGGAGATGCGAGCACAATGGGGATGAGCCACGTCGCTGCAATGATTTTCCGGGTTCGTGACTTGCTGTTGATCTTCATGGCGGACAAAGGATGTACGATGGCGTAATACCTGGAAATGAAGGAAATGGGTTAGAATGGATCATTTCACCCCGGAGATACACCATGGCTACAGGAGATTACTGACCTCAAAATGCCACGTGCACTTTTAAGTTGTTTTTATTTCTGATATTTCTAATTAAATGTCTGGATTCCCCCGATCCTTTTGAAAATGTCATGGAAGCTTGACCATACAAGTGTTCTTTTGAATTAAAGGTTGACGGAAAGAACACGTCTCTACATATCTGCATCTTCTCGGTTTCCATGTTTCTGATGGTGGACTCAAGTCCCCTTTCTTCGTCATAAGTATTTATCTCTTATACTGAGGCAACTGCAAAAGAATTGATTGGCCGAGACATTAAGACTGACACCCCCTCCCACCAGTGTGTTGCAAAACGAACAAATTTGAATTTCTTTTCTTATAAGCAGCAGACATAGTTCAAAATTAACTATCGTCTCTAGTTTAAACAACACGCGTTACCGTGGCACTTGAGTATTGGTCAATCACTTGATTGTCTGGTTTGTTTTCATTTCACCTACAAATTTAACGCTTGCCTGTGCATTTTGTTAAGATAATATACCTTCAATTAATTAAATCCTCTATTTTAGATTTGATGACAGACAATTCATCATTTGAGACCTCAATTTAATACCATCAAGTACCAGAACTCTGCCAATACGAATTTCAGCTTAAATCCAGTCCTCGCACAGCTGTTTAAGCTTATTACGATTTCTTTGGAAATAGATGAAGAAACACAAAATAAAATTCATTAACATTCAAATTTATTCTTAAGGTTGCACTAATGATATATGATGGAAATGACATGCGCCAACGTTCACGATATAGTTTTGCCTACGATCTATTCACATAAATAGATGGGATGTTTACAAATGAACCGGTTAGCAAGCGTACGTTACTAGTTCATCCCTGGTTCGACCCTGCCATGTGCTAGTCACAAGTGCAAGGTAACAAAGCATATGTATACCCGTAACACATTCATATATATATTGTACTTATGGTTTCTGTATCTCTGTAAAATTAACGAAATTTGAATCAGAGGATTTTCCTACTGGCTTCCTAGACTGTTAATGTGTTTTGAAAGTTGTCGTTATATTTGCTACAGTCGTCTTAAAGGCGCTTTAAAAGTTTCCAGACGACAGGGTTAATTTTACCTAATAAGGATAAATTTGTTAAAAGAATCTATGGACAAAGACTGCTTCTCAACTAACAAGGTACCCTGATTGTCTTTTTGACTGCCAGCATACGTCTTATCATGATATACCGTTTAACTAGTATCTGACATACCAAATATGATAAGTTATTGACATGCTGTTTTGTTATCTTATGATTTTCACGCTGTTTATATAGCCTTAAACGTTCTTCAAATACTGGCTAAAATCCATTGGAGCACTTTTTAAATTGATTATATAAATAACAAACTCTTCCATTGTCGTAATTGCCAATAAAATACATTAGGGAATACCCTATTCTGATAAACTGCCCCAAATACATCCATTCCAATCGAGGCACTATTTACAGTTAACAAAGATGTTACAAGATTCAAACCCTGTGCAAATTGTCAAGATATACGCTCATTCTTGAAACATGTTTCACACATTGATTGCTACACACATACCTTTGTTGGCACATGGTTTATAATAGATACACTGGACGCCGAAACGTACCTGGATGAAAGGGATCAATCATTTATAATTGCTTGTAAATTAAAGTTCTTTCGTATGAACACCAATAGAGACCTTCGATGCGCTCTCAACACTTGTGTATAACGATTGGAGACACCATTGTCAATACTAGCTGAGGTCCAACAAAAACATAAAACGAATAGTCAGAAAAAGATGTTTTATTGTCGACGTATATTTGTAATGTCAGGTAAGTTCAAAAGTATAGATGTAATCGAACCATTATATTTGTCATGAGAACACATTACGTATATATTTCGTTTGTCCTATTCACCTTTGATCAGTATTTATATTCGTGTCATGATTAGCATGCGTATATGTCATATTGTTCAATCTGAACTTCTATATTTTATTAATGGTTTGATCAATTTGTCAAACATATTTTTCCGTGTGACAAAATGAAATTGATTTTCCTTTCATGAGTTTGGTGTTTTAATGTGAAGAACTTTTGCAATTAGAACTGTACGTATGATTTTAAGCATATGACAAAGTTCGACAAAGAACAAAACGGTTTACAAGCAACTAATGACATGTTTGACTTGATATTACAAATATTTGATACAACAGAAATAAAGACTACCAGTCAGACAACAGAATAAAAAATGTCGCCATTATATCATCAGTAGAAACTAATTGCTGCTTACTGATATTTATTTTCGATATTGCTTCTGTTCCAAACATGAAGTCATAGACGTTTGTCCCATAGTCACAGAGCAGGAGATGATCAATATATGAATAGAAAGTTAAGATATTGCAAGGCCTATGTATTTAACGCTTATTAGTAATCTTACGCATTAATGTTGCATGCGCACATGCTACGAATTGAAGGGATGACTTTCCGTAACAGCGGAAGCACTGGTGGCCCAGTCGTCTAAGGCGCCGCAATTCTCTGTGCAGAGTTGCGTACCTTGGGCAGGCAAGAAACCTATGATTGTGGGCTCAAAGCCGGTTAGCCTCCGTCATGTTTCTAGGTTCGTCAACCTCATACCCATACTTGTGGGTTTCACCAAAAACGTCTGAGACCTGCATCTCTTAGGGTATTCCCCCCACATTAAGCTGACACGCCGTCATATAACCGGAATCCTGTTTAAAGCGGCGTCAAACCAAACGTACTCAATCAGTAACAGAGTTAGTTCTAAATACAGTTGTCTTCTGATAACCAGGGGGCACGGGTGACCCAGTCGTCTAAGGCGCCGCGATTCGCTGTGCAGAGTTGCGTCATTGGGCACGCCAGAAACCTATGATTGTGGGTTTGAATCCCGGTTCGCCCCGATTATGTTTCTAGGTTTGTCAGCACCATATCCGTGCTCGTGGGTTTCACCGAAGTGGTAAACGTCTAAGACCTGTATCACTTCGGGCTTTCCTCCCACATTTAGCTGACACGGCCGCGATATAACTGGAATACTGTTAAAAGCGGCGTTAAACCCAACTCACTAACTCACTCACTCTGATAACAAAACGCAAATATCGATGAAAACTCCACTGCTCTAGTTCGACTGACGTAGCGGATGGCCTTTGACGTCGGAGTACACGTGTCCCGATCATGTCCTTGACGTGCTCTATGGGGTCAATGTCAGGAATGGTCATTGAATTCTGGTAATGTGAATCTGGAGGTAGTCAGTTACGCTACGTGCAGGATGGGCACAAGCGTTATCGTCTTGAAAGGCCAAACGTGGACCAGCATGGAGCGCAAACAGCAATGGCAACGGCAAACGGCTATTGGCGCCAGTGTGTTGTCTCGGTAGTACCGCCAAGTGACCCTCCAAAGAAAAAATATGCAGTGGCGTTCTGGCAGTCAATAGTGATCCCGTCCCATATCCTTACAGACCCCTTCGCAAATCTGTCATGTTGACGTACGTTGACGTTCGCATGACGTTCGTAAGGACGAACCCCCAGACACGTCCATGCGGATTCCGAAAGTCTAAAGTGAATCTGGACTCGTGTGAAAACGTCACACGAGAACACCGCCTTTTCCCCCGGTCCTACACTCTAAACACTATTGGCGTCTGGCTTGAATGTGTCGATTTGTTAACGGTGGTACAACACGTGGTATATTTAATTGGGTTCAGAATGGTACACATGCATCGTCAAACTCTTCTATCATCAAATTAAATGATACGGAATCAATAATTCTTTTATCGCATGGTTCAAATGAAGTTAATTGAACTATCTTTAGGTAAGCATGTCAGTGTGTCTTCAGGTCATGATGTAGCTTGTTGCACAAACTAATACCTAATACCTTGACTCAGAAGCTATTAAGACACCACGTTGACTAGGTTTTTGTTATTTAACGCCACACTCAGCAATATTCCAGCTGAATGACTGCGGCCTGTAAATAATCGAGTGTGGAACTGGCAACCCAGTGATTGATATTATGAGCAACGTTGCACGCCGTCGGGCTGATGTGACAGCCAATCAACAAAGTCACTGAACCTGACCACCCGATCCATTTCGTCGTTTCTTACGACCAGCATAGGTCGTTCGGTACCTAGATTGTAACGCTTATCCCGACAGGGTATGCAAGATTTTGTATGGGGATTGGATATTTCTTCAGTTACAATTACAAAACCAGATCATTTCTTAATTTAAAACTATGAACCTGAATTTGTAAAAAGAAAAACACTTTGCAACAATTTATTTTTTGAGGCAGGCAATTTCTTTTTTATTTCAACAGTCTGAAGCATAATTATTTTATTCAAGAATTTTCAGAGACAACGTTAACTTATTTTTTTTTTTCGATAAAATCTCCAACCTGTTCTTCTTGCATAATTATTTTATTCAAGAATTTTCAGAGACAACTTATTATTTTTTTTCCGATAAAATCTCCAACCTGTCCTTTATGTTGTCGTGAGAGGATGTTTTGCATGCAAGTGTTTCGGATATATTTTAACGACCAGGCTTATCGAGGCATATTTGTCTTAAAGGTGATGGGCAATTGTTTACCTAACACAACGATAACCCCTTTAGTGTAACTCACAACATGACATACCAACGGGACCTTGAACCAGCCACAGCAGATCATTTTACCCATAATTATTAGTACCAGCAGAAACTTCTCTTACAGACATCAAAGGTCACGACTAAAGTTGCTTTTAAATAAAGCAATCACTGATCCTAATGAGAAAACCGCAGGGTTTCTAATGCCATTTATACTTGCTTCCCCTCTCCTAGAACCCAGGCATCACTGGACTTTAACACTGGTACATGAGTTCCAGCTGATGACCTAAGGCGGATCAGATGACAGTAGCGTTAACTACACGTACCATCCTTACCGAATGCTTGCCAAGCGTGCTTGTTTCTCAGCGTCAAAGG